AAGTGGGTTACATTGGGATATGAGCATAAGGAGGAAGTTCGAATGAAATAAGAACAGACAATGGATGAAGAATAGGCCATCAGCCATGCCACAATGGATCGGTTGTAGAAGGAAAATGGCCCATGGCAAGAGCAAAGCATCCACCTGCAGATATAATCATTAAGAAGACAAAGAGTCTAATTTTGTTGTATAGAGCAATGAAATACATAATTTATCTCTTGTGTTACAGTGTAATGCTGTATAGGTCATACTGTTGCTCGTAAGTGAGGCACAGTAACTAGACTGTTGTCCTGGGATAGAGAGTTCTAGCCCTCACTCAGCCCATAAAGCTCACTGGGTGACTCTGGGCCAGTCACTGACTCTCAGCCTAACCTGTGTCCCAGGATCGTTGTGAGGATCAAATGGAGAGAAAGATCATGTAAACCACCTTAGGTTCCTTGCAGGAAAGGGACAACATATAAATATAGCAAATAAAAATAACATAAAAAGAAGCCACAGTTGCCCATAAGCAGCTGTTTTTCTAATCTAATGCATTATTCAGTTTGTTTTTCATTAAAGGGGTTGGTCTTGAAGGTAGTAAATAACCTAACTATGTCACAACATACTGATAAATACAACCCTTGTTTTAGGAAAACAAATGTTACAGGAAAACAAAAATTAGCACATAAGCCAATTTGTAGTTACTTGTTAATACAGTTGGCATTCTTATACATTGAACCCAAAGGTGCTGACAGGAGTAGAAAGGTATTTTCAGTTCTCCAGAGGTGGGGTGGTGGTACCCATGCTCTGGCAAAACCTCCTCCAATAAAGGGCCACCCAACCCACAGGCAGTAGTGCAGATCAGGCAGAAAGCAGGCTGCCAGATTAAGGAATCTTTCTATATGCCATGTCAAACATTAAGCTCTAACTAGTAAAGTTGTGGCTAATTTAAAAACTCATCTGTCTCTGCATATTGTAGAATGTACTTTCCTGGAATAGATAGATACCTGGTTGGGCATTCTGGGTTCATGGGAAAGATCAGAACATCTAGTTCCGTAGATGGAACTCTGCTCATGAAAGTTAGGATCCAGGATGAGAGTTTTGGTTTTTTAATCCAGAGTCCTGTGTGATTCTCCCAACAAGACAATTTATAAATCCTTTAAAAAACCAACCAACTGTTCTTCCATTTACAAAAGGAAAGCAGTTGGGAAACCTTTTCAAGTTAGGAGTCTCCATGAGCACAAGAGGTGCCTGGATTTGAAACACTGATGTACTCTTTTGCACTGTGTCTGTGTAGCAGTGGATTATTAAATCATTATGCAAAATCTTGCATTAAAAGTTTCTAAAAATGGAATGCCAGCTTGCTTATATTTTTCTGTTTTGTGTATTTTTGAATGGAAAAAATAGGGCTGTCAACTCTAAATCCATCTGGTTCTAGCAGAGGGAAGGAAAGAAAAAGCAGGAAGTCCATATTTGGCAACAATCCTGGAAGGCTAAGCCCGGGGGAGCCTGCGATGCTTGCCAAAGCATCTGGAAAAGGTAAAGTCATGATCTTTTCTACCAATCACAAGGAATGGCTCTGCAATCCAAAAATTATATCAGACCTACTGAAGATCAAACACATTGTGCTGCATGTGCAGCATTCATAGTTTGGAATAATTTTCCCTTAGCAATGTAGCTATTATAATGACTTCATTATAAATAAAGGACCTATAAAGTAATGTATTGTTTGAGGAGCATTTGATAAAAATATACATCTATTTTCAGTTGTATTAATCAGAAAACTATATTCAAGCTGAAAAGCTTAGTTTTTGTGTGATCATCTTTATGTTAAAGTTATGTGGATGGATCATATTTTTTACTTACTTGTAAGATGTCAACAGAAATGCAAGATGAGCTAATTTAGGCAATTTTGAGTTGTTTAATCTTTTCATGGAACGATAAAAAGAAGTTTCAGCTTAAAATGTATTTGTATGAGCATTATAGCACTCTTATAAAAAAATTACCAAAATGAACTAAAGCAAAGATTTGATGTATAATGCTATCGTTTTCCTAACTATGGTCAAATTATGGAGTTGGCACCTCATTCTCCCTCCTTTCCATCTAGTGTTCCTTACATTGTGCCCCTTTCAGTACTAGCCAAGTTTTTAAATCCATTGCAAACTCTTTCTAAAAGGAAACCCTGGGTGTGATCTATATAGGTATTGTGATGCCTCACTCAGTGGCATGTTACATGATGGTTACCCAGATCTGTCCTCCATGTATTATTTCTGCCGATCTATCCCAGATTTCTTCAACCAGTTAAAATTGTTGTTTAGTATGTCACCACTTTGTTCTAGTGTATATAAGCATGTGTGCTAAACTTTGAGTACTATTCTGGATTGATTTCACTCAGCTGGTGGGCTGTGGGGGAGTGGGGAAGAGAAAAAGCCTTCTTGGGGTTTGGCAAACAGCAGGAATGTGGGTATTGTGTGGATATTCACTTGTTTTCCTGCCTCAGCCTGCTGTATTCTTTCCGACTTGCAAATGTCCCCTCTGCTCCCCTGTCCTTTGAAAAATAATGTCTGCAGTGTCTTTTCAAGCCTTCCTGATTGTTTCCTTTGCCCACTTGCTCAAGAAACAACTACGTGAAATGTATGTCTGCTCAGAAGTAAATCAGATGATCTACAGTAGCTTTGAGGTGGTGAGAACAGGGGTGCTGGTCTCCCTGGGATTGTGAGGACAGGAGCAAGCAACAGCACCCTTTCTTCTTCATGATTTTTTGTGAGGGAGCAGAAAGCTGCCAGGTTTTGTTTTTTCCTTTTTTTGAAATAACTTCATGTTTCCATTCCTACACACCATCATGTACCTAATTGAACTAAACACAAACACACATACAACAATAAACCTTTAAGGTCCATTTTCTTGCACAATCCCCTTTCCAACTCCTCAGTTTCTTCCATTTTCTATTTTGAAAATTAGCCTGTGCTTCAGCTGGGTTTTGTATAAATACAACAACTTTGTTCCTTCTTAAATGAGAGAGTCTGTTGGGCAGATCTCCACCAGGTTAGCTTTTACCATTGGTAAGAGCCACATTAAATGGTTTCTTCAGCAGATGGGGAGTAGTGGACTGAAGGACCAGGAGCAGGGGAGGGAAGATTACACATTCCTTCAGCCTGCTCACAATTTTTCTTAATAATAATAATTAGCAGATATGCAGTGCTACACCTAGAGTTGCTTTGAATCCCACTAGGATTTATTCTTGGTTGCATGGCTGAAATGTTTGAGCATTCATGTGTTGATAGTTTAAAAAATCTTCAGATTCATATCCAGCTTTTTTCCATCATGACAGTGCATATAGGGTTTTCAGATGGTCCCCCATCTAGGCACTGACTAGACTCTCAGCCGTCTTAGCTTCTGCTAGGTTGCTGCATCATTCTATTCTATATCATGCCCTTGTTATTAATCATATCATGCCAATGTTATTAATTGTAATAACAGCCAATACTATACAACATTAAAATATGACCCTTAATCAAATTAGCCACACATCAGCAAAATTAATCTGTACTCAATTAAAGAAACTATGAGTGAATTTCTTTTTAGGGTTTCCAATTTCTGAATAAGTAAGCCATGGTAATGTTTCCTTTAGTAAAGAGAAGTCTTCGAAGAGAACTCCAGTGAATGCACAAGATTTCCTTACTCCTGTATCTATTATTAGTTTGGATTATGGTTACAGTTTATTGAGAAACATGCATTTGTTTTGTATTACCATTTTATGCCTATTGAAGATGAGGGGAAGACAGGGAAGGTTTATGAGATTGAGCATATATGACCTGAAAATATTATTAATTTTCTAGGTGCCTTTGATAGTGCACGACAGACCTGGGAAGAAGCTTGTTCACCTGCTTTTAGCCCTACAGCTTCTCTCAGCTCTATAATAAGGACACCTAGATGCTACCATATATCTTCTTTGAATGAAAATGCTGCGAAGCGCTTGTGCAGGCGATATTCTCAGAAGTTGATACAGCATACGACCTGCCAGCTGCTGAGGACATATCCAGCTGCTACACGCATTGACTCCTCCAATCCTCATCCCCTTCTTTTTTGGCTCCATGGGGTACAGCTAGTAGCACTAAACTACCAAACTGATGGTATGGATTCTTTGCATTCTTCAGTAACATAACATGTGCACTTCAAATATCACAAAAGAAATTATTATTTTTTGGTTACCACGGTATACCTCTGCTTACATCATTATATGTTTTAAACTAATGCAGACTAAAAATGGGGAGAAAACAACATTTTAATACATGCTTATCTAATTTCACACTTTTGAAACAATATGCAACTCAAACTTGATTATGCTTCAAAGTACACAGCTTTCCAAATTTTGCAGTAGAGTTATCCAATTGAAAAAGACAACATTTATATTATTGAAAATAATGTCAATATGTATTAGAAAAATTGCTTGCAAAAGATGTGTTGCTTGCAAAAAAGGGCAAAACTATGTACAAAAATACATGTATTAACAGAGGTGTACACAATGTGTGTGACAAAGTATCAAATTTAACAAAGAGTAATAGTTTATATGCTGCTGAAATGCAAGTTGAAAACTCTTTGTGGTTGTCATCACTTTATGCAGAGCCCATAAAGTACAGTGGTACCTCGGCTCATGAACGCCTTGGCTCACGAACAAATTGGGTCATGAACAAAAATTACTGAAAAATTGTTGCTTGGGTTGCGAACACCACTTTGGGTGGCAACCAAGATTGCAGCCATCTGCCCCCCTGCCCCGGTGGGGGGATGGCCACGATCACAGTTCCGTTCGTGCAGGGAAGGCGTCCGTGATCAGAGGTGCGCGGCTGCAGAAAAGACAGGCAGAATCTCAGCCACCTCCCCCGCGGCTCTGCTTTGCTGCTCCTGTCTTTCCTGCAGCCGCACGCCTCTGATCACGGACGCCTTCCCTGCACGAACGGAACTGCGATTGAGGCCATCTCCCCACCCCAGCACACCGTTTGCGCCCATCTCTCCCTCCCCCAGTGCATCCGCTATCACACCCGTCTCTCCCCCCCCCCCCCCAGGATGACGGGTGCCTGCAGGAATGACAGGCGCGATCTTGGTCGTGCTGGGTGGGCGGGGAGATGGGCGTGCCTGTGCTTGGGGTGGGGGAGGAGATGGCCACGATCTTTGTTGTTGTCACTTTGTTTCAATATTTTCTGATTCAAAAAATGGTTACAGAACGGATTAACCTTACTTACATTTCACCTTATGGGGAAATTCGACTTGGCTCATGACCAGAGTCCTGGAACGGATTAAGTTCGTGAGCCAAGGTACCACTGTATCCTCCAACTTGCATCCCTGTGCAGCATTCTGTACCACCAAATAAATGCTTCAAGATTTTGGAGGATGCATGCAGTAGGACCATTTAGAATAGTATCGCTGTCTATATTCATTATCACTTTTGTAGTGCACATCACTATGGGGAAAAGTTTCTTGGCAATATGAGTGATAATGCCTGAAATACAGCCCTTATTTTACACAGTTCACACAAGTGAATTCTTTTACATTCACATTATATTTAAATCATGGTTAAATGTAGCAAAGCAAAGCAATGTTACCACGTCAATACCAAAACCCAGCCAACTTTGGGGGAGCTACTGTTCGGTGTAAAGCATGTGTTTGTTAGTGGAGGATCACAAGTTCAGTCTCAAGCATCTCCAATTTAAAAATGTTAGATAGTAAACACTGGGTAAGTCTAAGTTTTGAGAAACTGGAGAACCAGTGCCAATCAGAGTACCTCATTATACTAGTCTGACTTAAGATACTGCAGGTAGTTTCATATTTTGAGATGTTTAATTATTGCCATTTGATCACATACTTGCCATTAGTGATGTGTTTCTGTTCAGTCGCAGATACAATTTGGGAGCTTTTACATTCTTTGTGCTAGTCTGTCCTTTATAGTTCATAAACTATTTGGAATTAGAGAACTTGGGTTTAAGACAATTCAATCCTTATGAAATGGAAATCAACTTAAATACCTGTATATTTCCTTAAACTGTTTAATTGAAAGGAAAGTTTCTGCCCTTTATGCAAGAAGGGACCTGCCTTTAACATGTTGGAAGCATTTGTGCAGTAAATACACTTGTTTCTGGACTTCTAATAAATACAGATTTATTTATTCAATGATTTCAGTTTTGGACTTCGTTATACTTTAAAAATAAAGGGGTTGGTTGGAATGCGTATGTGGGCTCATACTAGAAAAAAAATTAAGCTGAAGGTGTTTGTTTATTCACAGCCATTAGGGTTTGCTCAATTATAATTTTAGAGGTGCCCCTGGCAATTAATGAATCAACTATACAAACCTAAAATGAAAAAGCACTAGTTAGAATGAAAACTATACTCTGTTTTGAATGCATTGTGTTACTTTCAAGTCTTGGCAGTTTGAACATGTTAAGTGTTTTACCTGCAGATCTTCCTCTGCATTTAAATGCAGCCATGTTTGAAGCAAATGGTGGCTGTGGGTATGTTCTGAAACCTCCTGTGCTGTGGGATAAGAACTGCCCAATGTACCAACACTTCTGTCCTTTAGAAAGAGAGCTGGACAATATGGAACCAGCTATTTATTCGTTGACGGTAAGTGAAACCTGTTAATAACATTTAATGTGTTTTGACATGTACAAATTTACTTGATATGAATTTATTTAATGTATGGCTAATCATTATAATTTATATTGCTGGTAAAATTGTTGTAGTTAAATATGGGACCTAGGAAAAGCAAAGGAAAGAAAAATCATTATCTTTCTTTCAACTTCTGTCTTGATGCAGCAAAGATAGTGCATGTATGAAAACAAATCAGAGACACGTTTTTTGGATCAGATGTTGGGGGCCTCAGAGGGTGCAGCAATTTCCATTTGGTGCTTACTCAGAAGTAGTTGCTGTTCTGCAAAGGAATAAACAAGGAGCAAATTACAGGACAGCTATATCAGTTCTATTTACATGCAGAAGTACTACTATTCATTAGTGTGATTCGGATAACGGCTGACTTAATTCAAAGCTGGTTTTATCAGAAGCGAAAGTATCCTTCAATTGGAGAAAATTTCTAGAAATCATTATGTTATGGGCACTTGTTTTGTGTTTCAGATTGTGTCTGGACAGAATGTTTGTCCTGGTAACAGCACAGGAAGCCCCTGCATTGAAGTGGATGTCCTTGGCATGCCTCTAGATAGCTGCCATTTTCGTACCAAGCCCATTCATCGCAATACTCTCAACCCCATGTGGAATGAACAGTTTCTTTTCCGGATTCACTTCGAGGATCTAGTATTTCTTCGTTTTGCAGTTGTTGAAAACAATAGTTCAGCTGTGATGGCTCAAAGAATTATTCCACTAAAGGCTTTAAAAAGAGGTAAAATGAAAATTGTATGTGAATATTTAAGGCCTAATTCCATGTACAGGAAAAAATGTGGCTACCTATCCAACCTTTCCCCTCCCGGCATGTCTCCCCAACATGTGATATGCAGTCACTTTACTCAGCATTTTCTTGTCTTCCTTTCATTTCTTTTACCAGCTGTTTTTGGTACCAAAAAGTTGTTTCTTGACCAGCTGCTGCGGCCAAGCAGCTTCCATAATATATAGTTAGGCCTCTTGGAAGAGAATTATACTAGCAACGTATTCTGAAGGCTCTCATTTACACATTATAGTAAGATATCCTTTAGTTGTGCTGTGTGTATTTTGCTAAAATAAAAACAAATGAAGTGTTTGAAGAGTAACATTTAGAAATTTGAAGGTGTTGTTTTTAAATCTGTATCTGAGAAGGAGATCCCTGGTTGCATTCCAGTCTCCACATATTTGAGGTAATCATAATAACTGAGGAGCAGCTTCAACACTTCAGAAATTCTTGTTTTAGAAGATAGTTGGTTTGGAGAGATTGTTGATCGGAGGTGTCCTCTCAGGCTCCAGAGAGTTGTTTCTTCTCTGGTAGATAAATTTGTTGAGACGGGGGCAGGGTGTTTATTTCAGAACATACTGAACCTAAAAAGTGTACATTGAAACCTCAGCTACTAGGCAATTAGTTCCAAAATATTCTAGCAGCTCTAATTGTCATCTCCCACCAGACATTTCTACTAAGGAAAGCTTCCCAACACTGCTGGGTGTCTATGGTATTTGTGCAAGTTTTAGGCAAGTGATGTAAATGTCAGAATAAATATGCAGATTAGTTACTGAAAATTTCCAGTTCTGCTTCTAATACTAAATGGTATTGATCATTATGGCCACTCAAAATACCTTTGTGTTTTTATTATATCATGGAATACTCATGTATGTTTTGATATATGCCAGCCATCAAGCTGCTTTTATGAATAAAAGATCACTCAAAACCAGAAGACCTATCCTTTGTTTTTGTTTCGCTTTTACTTGTCTGATCCTGCAAGCTTGCAGTATGTTCAAACATATAAAAGCAGTCAACTCTCCCTGGTTTCAACCCCCTGTGCTAATTCAGTCTCATCTACCATTTCTAAAATGCATCTAGCAGTGCATCTGAAAATGCAGGTGAATCACCACAAGGAGAAGTTTGCAGACTTGTGGTGTGGGCCCTGGGGAGGCTTTCTCCAACAAAGCCCCTGTACTTTTCAGAGGAGCTTTTTCAGTGATCATAGCATAAGACGCTGCTGTTCAAACCAAAAGACCAAGATGTCCTAGTAAGTATTCACAAGCCTTTGTCAACTTTGGATTCCAACCAATTCATCTTTCAGGAAATAAATGACATGGCTTTTGCATTTCAGGTGCAGTAAATAGTCACCATTACATTTTACTTTGCAAAGTATGCAACTTATGATAACATCTGTTTAACTGGTTTCCTTTCCAACCTGCAGTTAAATATATCTTTCAGGGTACAGACATCTTCAGCTACGAAGCCTTCATAATGAAGTACTAGAAATCTCAAGTTTGTTCATTAACAGTAGAAGAATGGAAGAAAATCCTTCTGGAAACGCTTTGTCTGCTACTTCGGTAATTTAACTTGTAGGAAATTTCAGCATGTTCCTCAGCAAATGCTTAACATCCTGGTAACCAAAATCATAAACAGTGAAATATTACAGACGCATTTGTAAATTAACTTTCAATATCTCTTTGCTGTATAATATCTCTTTGTTGTTGGAGAAGTTGTACATACTCCTCCTAGCAGCATGATATACAATCATGGATGAAGGGAGTTGGAATCCAGCAACATCTGGGATCCGCTGGTTCACCTTATCCTAACTGGAATCCAGATATGTATATTCTGTTTGAGTCTAGTATCACTTTGGCTGCACTGTTCTCATAGTATCTTTTACCAAAGTCAATCACTTTTAAGTCTGCTTTATTTCAGTTGGAGGGTTAAGTACATGCTTAAATAATAACTGTGATCAATGGGATTTTGAGGTGCTTAACTTTGCCTGTATCCCTTACTTCTCAAGGAAACTACAGTACAAGTAGTCTATCTGTATTTGTAGGAAATCATATTTGTGCTTTTCCAGTCTCCTGGAGCTTCGCCAGTTTTCCATGCGTTATCAATATAAGAGTTATTCAGCACCACTAATTTGCATTAATTTAGTTTATTTAGCCCTTCTGTCCTATCTTCCTCCTCATTTATTTTTATTAGTGCTACTGAGTCATAGCTTACTTTATTTATAAAGATTGCATCAAAGTCTCTATTGAGTATCAATCTTCCTTTTAACTACTCTCTCTTTGTAGTACATTATATTCAGCACTTGCTTTCTGATGACTGGCATAGAACTCCACCCTAAAGACTTTCCTGATTTATTATTAAAATCCCCTAAATACATTTTTAAGAAACATCCAGAATTGTTATGCTCCAGAATCTCATAGAGGATGGTCCTTAATCTCAGGATGGCCCCTTCCTCTGGAGCTTGTAGGCAGAGCCAAAAGTTGCTTCTTCAGGAGAATGGTCACACTGTCCTCCAGACTGGCTCTGCCTGCTGAGCTAAATGGTCTAACTGAACTAGAGTTCTTTAAAGCCCATGTCTAGTTTCTTTTCTTCTGCTTTTTGTCCTTTCTCTTTCTTCATGTGGCCCCACCACTCAGAATGTCCTAGTAGGGTCTGCAGGAGTAGGGGAGTTGCCCAGTACAGATGGGGTTTCTACTAGGTGGGGACCGCTTTCTCACATTACATGGCACTCTCCAGATTCTGTATGCCAGTGGAGATTGGGAGGGACAGGCAGCATTGGCAGCCGTCAGATCAGGTCATGCCATCACTGGAAAAGCTGCAAAGGCTCCCCCCCCCCCCCTTGCTGGGCCCAGCATACCAGCTGAGGCCTAAGGCAATGTTTTTTCTGACAGTTCCCAGTTGACTGCACCTCACACCTCTTCTGCCTACTATCTTCATACAAAGTGAGTGGAAGGTACTGCGATCTTCCCCCACTACTGAAAATGCTAGAAATAAGAGAAAGGGCCCATCAGAGATAAGACTCTCTCTTTGCTTCCTTAAAGTTTAGGGTTTTGGGACAAAAGTGTCAAAGGTCACAATTTCATGCTGGGTGAAGGAAGCCATTGAGGTGGCTTACCAGGAAATGGATAGACAACCCTTGGGAGGAATAATGACTGCTCCTTAAACACTTCAGCGTTTAAAGGTGGTTTCTCCATAACTGAGAGCTGCAAAGCAGCCATTTGAACATCTGCATCTACCAAACTCTATCAAATTAATGCTGCTACCTTTGCAGGTGCAAGCTTTGGGTGTAGGGTAGTCCAGAAGGTCTTGCTGGTTTACAACACTGCTCCCTATAGTCCCACCCTGAGAATTATTTACTCGTCTGTTAAGTCCCAAGAACTACAAGGATGGTGCCTCCCACTGAACCCTTCTACTTAAAACTACACTGGTCCCAAGGTTTGGTGGGTGGGATGCCTTCTGTGGGGCTCTGCAACAGAGATTTCCAGTAAGGAACAACTGTCTGTTACAGGGGACAGTATTATGCTACATATAAACTATGATAATTAGGGTCATGGGTAACTTTTATTCCCATTTTGACATTTTATGAATTCATTTTGATTTTCCTGCACTGCTTGTTATGTTCCTTTCCGGATGAGTTGCATTTATTAGATCTGACTATATTGGTTCAATGAACAATATAGTGACTAAATAATTAAAATGTTTGTTTTGAGCAGCAGTTCAGCACAGCAGAGAGGAGAGCAGCTGCCATGTACAAAGTTACAGTATGTGGCATTCCAGGGCCAGAACCTTTTACCCTTTTTACTGTAAAGCAAGGAACCACTGTAGCTCAGCTTCTGTATCAAGTAAGTCTATTTCTGTTGCCACTGAGCAACCTTAACTCATATAAATATGTGTGTTTTTGCCTGTATGTGTATGTGTGTAGGAGGGAGTGAAATCTCGCTGTGTGTTCATGCACCAGTATGTGTCTAATGTGTCTGATTTTTCCATCCCCAACATAGACCCCCAGAAACACACAAGGAAATTTGGTCCCAAGTGGAAAAAAGCTTCCCTTACTGTACACTATGCAGTACTCAAACACATTCTGTCAGCATAACTTGAAGAGTATTTTTTTAAGGTTTCTAAAGTTCTTACTAGCATTATTCAATATGAAGATGGTTTGACAAACCAATTAAAAAAGGTGCTGGCATTAGCATAGAGGCTTTGTCTAATGAACACACTGTCTTCACAGAAAAAATGGAGTATAGAAACTTCTTTGGCAAATATAACTAATTCTCACTATACCAGTTGACAATCCAGGATCTGACTGGCTTTTAGAACTCCATGTTATTCTTGTAGAGGCAAAGAAGGTATGCCTGCCAAGTTTTATCGGGAGCATACTTTTTTCTTTGTTGTCTCCCTGCATCACACATCTGGGCTTTTGTGCATGTGCACAGAGCCTGGATTTTTCTGAAGAAGTGCATCTGCAGATGGCAACTCCAGTGGTACAGAATTCGTAATTTGAAAAAATCTTGTTGCACTTTACATTGTTATTTCTAGTGTAGTGGATGACAGGAATAAAAAGTGAGGGTGATTCACATGCTGCATTAAGTGGTCCAAGCAGGTGGCATTCCTCTGGCTTCCTTGACCACATTCTCACCAATAAGGAAGGGGCTGGAAAACAGCAAAATAGTAGTTTCCAATTGTTGTAAATTTGTAAAATACCAGCAATGGTTATTGACTCAGCTGTTATGACTTGGATGTGAAAAATTCAGGCTAAATCCCTGCTGAGGCGCAAAGCTTATTAGATGGAAAGTACCTGACAGGAAGCAGTGTCAGTGGCAATCCCCACAACGATTCTGATATACTCCTCTGTTCCAGTGGGGTCTTTTCTTCTGTGAATGAGTCCATGTGTGTGCATGCATATGTGATTCGGGGGGGGGGGGGGGCGGAAGAGAGAGAGAGAATGAGAGAGAGAGGGGATTTGCTGCCTCCTCCTCCTGAAGCTTGAGGCTTGACTACATGATCAAGGTAAGTTGCATTCTGATACACTTCAACCCCTGCATCCATTGTACTGGCTGGGCTTTCACACTATGGCTCTGTTAGCCTTGCAAAGGCCATCACAGAGGCTTGTGCTATGTAGAAGGAAGACTGGAAGGAATCGGTGTCCTTGAAGCCAGTTCTTTCTCGCAGCAGTCCTTTAACCTGTAACAGGACTTCTTGCAACGAGTTTTTTGACGCACATTCTCCAAGCCATTTCCCCCTACCTCCATGTAGGCCCACTCTGAAGCACCAGGCTGACTCCTTCCCTTCAAGCGAGTTCCCACTTGTGACAAACAGAAGTCTTGTGCCTCAGCTGGCTTCATTTGGTACATATGCTGTGGTACCATAACAAAGTGGGTCCCAAAGAAGCTTCTTGCATACTAGACTCTGAATCCATTCTTGCCTTGTTTTTTTACCCAGTGCACTTGGCCATGGTACAACCAGTTTACAAGTAAGACGAATATGAAAACTCACTGAAGACTCTCTCTCACCCTACACTACTTAGTCACTTTAGTATTGCAAGCAAAATCTTTTCATGGTAAAGGTAAAGCATTTGAGGTGCAGAATGACCCAGAGTATCTAGTATAGTCTGAATGCGAATTCTACTGACACATACAAAAAGACTTTGTTGTTATTATGAAGTTTTGTTTGGATCATATGTTCTGAATTGGATTAAAATATCCGTTACAGAAGGGGACTTTCTGAATGGTGAGCCAGGCTGGTTGCCCTTGCCCTTGGCTGCTGTTCTAATAGTGGGAAAATACTGTGCTCTCTTGAATTATGAGTAAATGGCCTGGCAAGCCAAAGTGGACATAAATCAGATGAAATAGCATTTGCCTTCTCTGAAATAGTTAAATTCTCAGATAGTGCATAGCCCCAGGAAAGGCATTTTAAATGGCTTAGTAATAGTGAAAAAACATATGTTATTACGTGCAAGATAATCATTAATACAGAGGCTTTGTTGCCAACACAATGAAGTTACTGATCATACAACATTCTGCCATTCTAATTATTATTATGATTTTTCTTTAGATTTTCACTACCACAAAAGGCATTGGAAAGTATCCAGCAGACTATTTTTTAATGGAAGAGAAATGCTTTATATCTAAAGAAAGAAATGAATATAGCAAACCACCATTCCAAAGAGTGCTTGGCCCTGAGGAGGAGCTTGTTCAGCTCTTGAACAGCTGGTTCCCAGAAGAAGGCTATGTTGGAAGGATTATCTTTAAAACACGTGAGGAAGTGAGTCCATTTGCTTCGGCATGTATTGTTCAGTGATAGTATCAGGAGGGTGACAAAAAGAGTATGTTAATTATCTGGCTTGCTAGAACCTGTTCTTGTTGGCAAAGAGCATTGAAAAAGAAGTAATACAGAACCCAGAGCAGTATTACTGTGACCTAAGTAGGATAACTGGGAGGGGTTAGTCTCACTTAGCTGTTTAACACCAACAGCAGCTTAGGGAATAAGGATGTTCAAGGCTGAAAATTCCATTCCAATACAATGGGATTTTATAGTACTTCCATTACAGCAATTTCCCCCAATTCCAAAAAATATTTTGTATATGTTGGGGCTGTTCTACCATTGCCACATATTAAAATATGCAGAAATTATAGTTGTAATTTGCTTCTGGGGAACATCTTGAAATGTGCATAAACGGTGTATTTTTAAAATAATTTTTAAAATAATTTCTTACTTTGTACTCCTGCATAAGTGCGCAGAATCACAAATATGCCTGTCCACAATATAGCCAGGCAATATAGCCACAGAAGGACATTTCCTCTGTTGTTAATATCCTTGTTAGTTTCAGACATTCTCAAAACACCTAAAAAAAAAAGCCCAGCACCTAAAAAAGGGGACACCATTTGTGCACATTTCCAGACGGGAAAAGGACAAGTTGAAATGTGCATAAATGATATTTTTTTTTCAAGTTTTGTATTTTGTATTCCCACTGTTCTGGAGGCTATTGTAGACCTTCTAAAAAAAGCGAGATTGTTTTTGGGAGAGATGATGCATCTTTGCCACTAGAGAAGGCATGGTGCACTTTTTACCAGCTTAAGCCAGTGGTGGCGAACCTATGGCACGTGTGCAGCGGCAGCCACGCGGAGCCCTCTCTGTAGCACGTGAGCCAAGCCGCCCCAGCATCGCCCCAGCAGCCGAGCATCAGGTAACCGCAGACATAGAGGGCATGCGCGTTCTTGGAAAAGAGTAGTGGTGCAAGGGGATGATGTCACAAGCCGAGGCATATTAGGCACCACTTGTCTGAGCTTTCGCATGGCTGGTCAGTGCGCTGTGAAGGATATATATGTATTTGCTGGGACAGGCTGTTTTAAGGTTTTATTTAATATAGTCCTCAGCTATCCTTGTCTGGGATTCCCCACCAAGTAAAAAGAGTGTTTTTCTGATGTGGAATCCCAGCTGTGAAATATGTTTCGCAGAGAGGCTTCACTTTTGCTCTTTTCAATGCCAGGCATTTTAATTTGTTTTGAATCTGTTACTGTCTTTTAAATCTCTGCATTGCTGATAGGTTTTATTTTGGTTTTTATTTTATACTGGCATTTTACACTTTCATGTTGTACCTTAGTTTGTAATTTATGATTTTAATCATTCTGAACCTTCCAGAGTACTTTAGCTACTGTGGGATATAGAAATGTAATACACAAATATTCATGTGCCATTTTTGTGCACCAGCTGAAAGAAGTCTGAATTGCTCATTTATAAAACATAAAAGATGGTGGAGGAGAATGATGTAAGCTGCCTTGAGCGCTTCGTAGGAAGAAGGCAGGATATAAATCGAAAAATAAATAAATAAAATCCATAATAGTTTTATGTTCATGTGGTTTGTTTCTGAAAATGTATATTAAACCTATAATAAAAACATAGTAGCTGGTTTTGCCCTGCTCCCTACCAGATACCCAATATCCTATATTCATATGTGCAGGTCATGGTCCAACAAAGAATTAAATCCAGTGATTTCCACTGAACTTTCTTTTGGGATTGTGACCCAGTAGGATAATCTGGTGTTACTGAGATGAAGCTAAAATTCTTTTAATTTCCTTGCTCCATTCTCTTCTACTTTCTTAAACTCTCTAATGAGTTATATAATTGCTGTTAGCTAATTATCACACCTAGAAAGCACAAATGCGTATTTTCCATGAACACAGTCCAGATAAGTACTTCTAGAGGCCACATTACCACTTTTTAGGTGCAGCCTGTTTTATGTGTCAGCAAACATTTTATTCACGTACCCTACAAACGTAAGTGGAATGTGACAGATGCATCTTGCAAACCCATGAATCATGCAGACCTCAAAAAGTCATGATCAGCTACCCCTGTTGAATAAAAGCTCACTAGTAAAACCAACAGTGATGCTATAGAATGTGTGTGGGGGGGGGGGAGTATTTTGTCTCAGACTAAAATAGGAAAGAGTTTTCGGCACATGCATGGCTAACTCCCCAACTGAAGTCAGTGTGTCAATACTGAGCTGTGGCTGGATCATGCCCTACAAAGTTTATTATTATGTAAATAGATGTGGCATGTCCAGTGAATTGATCCAATTACAGAAAGCATGTAAGAAAGAAAATCTCAAATGCCAGCTGTAGGTCTGTGTGAACTAGGGAAGAATGGATATAGATCTTTTTACTTTGGTGAGTTGATTTAAGCAAATTAAGAAAAATGAACGTGTACAGACTGGGAAAGACAAATATACAAAATGTAGGGAGAGAAATTATGTAAAGGTATGAGTCTGCACTGGCAAACTGTGTAGTTTTGGCTGTCTAAATGTGCTTAATCATCAAGGAAACCATTCAAATCACCCATGTGATTTCCTCAATATAGTCAGTGCAAATAAGACAACTGTCTACAGAAAACTGTTAACAGAGATTTGCCTGGATTTTGAGGGATAAAAGTTGCACTAGTCTATAGGACAAGTAATAAGCTTTTTGTCTGCTGACAATATGGATCTAATCTGCATGGTACTTCAGCCAATAATGAAATATTTTAAGTAATAGTTTCCCTCTGAAAGCAGAATGACGTGCCACTACCAGCCCATCTGTAGAGCTTTCTGATAGCATGCAGGCGGTGCAGCGAGATGCATTTTATTCAGGTGACGTTGAAACATTGCACTGTAGGGCAATGATGGCAAGATAGGCTGTCATAAATCACTCCTTCTGCTCTAAGAAACCCCAGCTGGCCCTTATGAATTCTCTTTTCTTCTTGTCATGTGGACTGTTAATTCTGGGAACAAGATTGTGCCTTTTTATGGACATATAGGGAAGAAAGAAATCCCTCCATAATTTATTTTTAGCAGTCATGCAAGTGGAAAGAACAGATATTGCTTAGCCCCTAACTCTTGATTCTTCTTTTGTTTTCATGGCAGATTAAGTCCAAAAACAATTGATTTACATGACAATTTAATTTTCAATGTAAGATACTTCAGGGGTACTATTTCTGCATTCCATTAAGGGATTTAAAAGTATCATTTTCTAAGCAAGATAAGCTTATCCTTTTCATGTTTTTCTAGAACTTGAACAGGAGAAATTTCTTTCAGGAGGAGAAAGACGAAGCAGTTACTGTTTCTGAAGATGACAGCTTCTTTGTTCAAGTCCACGATGTTTCCCCAGAACAGCCTCGGACAGTCATCAAAGCTCCTCGCTTCAGTACAGCCCAGGATGTTATCCAGCAGGTATCATGTACTACTTCTCTTTTTTCCTCTTATTTTCTTCTTGGTAAGACTACACATTGGCCAGTAGGGGAGCTGAAAAGCCCATCCGTTATGCAAAGGGATAGTTCATGCTGTTAGCCTTTCCTTGCATGTGATTTTAAAGTATTCTATTGGTACTCTAACACACTGCAACCCACGATACCAAGGTGTAAAACTATTCAGGCCTGTAGTGTGCACCAGGGACAATAGTAAATATATTAATACTTTCAATTGTGTATTCATTCAGATTGTACTAGAGGATTATTGCTTTTGGTTTTGCCTCCTTGTTATTTTCTTTAATAGACTTTATGCAAAGCCAAATATTCCTACAGTATTTTGAACAATCCCAATCCAAGTGATTATGTCCTTTTGGAGGAAGTGACAAAAGAGCAAGCAAACAAGAAGTCTTCAACAGCCAAAACATCTCAGAGGATTCTTTCTGACCAAGAGTGTGTATTTCAGGCTCAGAATAGGTGGAAGGGAGCTGGGAAATTTATCCTCAAACTTAAAGAGCAAGTCCAGGTAAGTAAATTACTGAAGAATTTTTGTAAACTTTAAAACTTGTCTGGTCACAATTGATGCAGGCTACTGTGGCTTATTTATTCATTTAAGCAACAGTGGGTTGCTGTGTACACTGGCTGCCATTTTGAATATTCAGGGTGGTCACTTTGGCTTATCTTGTGTAAAGCCAATGTGATGCTTAAGCAACCTTCCATTACCTCAAGTAACCCATGGGTTATGCGGGAATTAACACTTGCAGCACTCAACAATCCTTAGCGACTGTCCGCCATGGCTTGTGTATTCAGAAAGACACATGACAAACACCGCAACCATTGTAACTTTAACAAGTTACAGTGGGTTGCAGGTAGCATCTTAACCCAGTCAGTATATAAATATCTGAACACATTTTTATATTCATTTTGTAGAGAGAATATGCTCTGTGTTGTTAGGTGACAAATTCTTCACATTAGTGTTTAATAGCCTTGGATTACCAGGACACTGGCTAAACTGCACAAGTCTCAACTCACTTTTTAAATTATAGAATTATTCAGTTTAATAGAAGTATTCTGTTGAGCTTATTCATGAAAATTTCACTACGGAAGGCAGATAGGGAGAAGTTGCTGTATGGTCACATTTTCATGTTATGAATAGTTTAGGGAAGTTTTAAAAAGGAATTGTTTGAAAGCTGCTGTTACGGTGTTTTGTATATCCAACCACACTTCACAAGCCAAACAGTAACCAACAATAATCCCGAAACTTTTCCACTTCTCCCATGAGTGCAGGAAGCCAGCTGGCATTGGGGAGGGCCCCTCCTCCAGGGCCAAGAAGGCAGATTATACTAAACTTCCTAAGAAGGCAGAGCCTCCTTGGGAGCCTTCAGGTGTGGTTCTTACCTCATGGTGGGAGGCTGACTTTCTTGGCTCTTGCACTTGCCACAAGCGCAGAGGAAAAAAGGAAAGAAAAGTGGAGAGCAGGGGAGTGCCAGGCATAGGCCTGATCCTGGCACAGACCAGGCCAAAGCTCAACAGCAAGAGAGAAAACCTTCAGCAGCAAAAGAGGAGTTTACTCCATGTGCTCTCTGACACTACTGCACAGACATGTCAAACACAGGCCTATCTGCCACCTCTCCAGCACCAATCAGCCTGCAAGGCCTCCACACCCACCACCAGATGGACACACACTCTGGAGACTTACTATTCTCTCAGTGGGGAGAAAGACCAAACTGGAAATCTCATGTTCATCACTGTACAGGCTATACTCTATTTGTGTCATTTAGGTCCTCCTCTCTAGGAAAAAAGGTATCAATTCTTTTCCTAACCAGGTGGATGCTAGAATGTGTTGTACTGACTTACAGTGGCTTGCCAGTCCCCAAGGGTATTATGTTGAGTTTAGTCAGGGGCATGGCTGTCTCAGCGGCCTCTTGCAGAAGGACTCCCTTGAATGAGACTGCGGGACAGCTACTTGGGCTATGGTCCATACGTTCACCAGGCATTGCAAGATAAGACTGTGTAGCTGCCTTTGTTAGGCATGGTTTTCAGAATGGTTAGCCTTACAGGAGACTGGCTATATTCTATTGGCCCACCAGGGGATATGCTTTGTTGGCACATCCCCAAAACTAGCTGGCTTCCTGCACTCATGGGAGAAGCAGAAATACTTTATTCACTGGTGAATTTCTGTTCTCCACAAATGAAGGAGGTCAGCTAGGCCTTGGACCTGGCCTCCTTCAGTTCAATTTGTAGGTAGATAGGGTTCTTCCCTTCTGCATAGGTCATCTAGCTGTCAAGTATTCCTGGTGGAGCAGCAGCAGTAGCAAGACAACCATCTTCTCAAAATTGACATATTGGAAGTATCAACTGGGCCACACCTGAGAGGCCACACCTCCTTAGGAAGTTTAGCAGAGTCCACCTTCCCAGTCCTAGAGGTGGGTCCTTCCCCAAAGCTAGCGCGTCTCTCTTACTTGCAGGGAGCATAAATTCAGTGGTGGTGAAAGAATTTTCATTTCTGTTGTATGGTTCTTTGTTTGCAGGCTGGTCGAGATGATAAAAAGAAAGGCATCTCATTAGCTAATGAACTTAAGAAATTAACAAAATCAAGTAAGCAGTACCGGGGCTTTATAACTCCACCTTTACAAACTTCTTCAGATGGCCTCCAAAATAAAGATGACAAGACTACTTGCAGTTTGACTTTCAGTGACACTGTGGAGTAATCTTCTGTTTTATATTCAGGTACCAATGGTTTAGTTATTTATTGTGCTTTTATTGAAAGTGTTTATCCTCTTGCCTTAGACAAAGTCTTCCCAGAATACTATCACTGTTGCTGCCTTCAAGCTAATAATTTTGAGAAAAAAGTGGTAAGAGTGGAGAAAAAAACAATCCAAACTGAGGTAAAGTTATGAGGTATACTAGAGGGCAGTGTTAGGAACCCCAAGGCACTACAAACAGCAGTTGAAAGCAAACAGAAAATGGTGGGAGTTCTGCCTATTTATGCTAAAGAGGAGTGAGTGGGGCTCTGCTGGAAATTCTATGCTTACCTAGGAGAAACCTATCAATCAGAGGCACTGCGCAGGTGTGCATATGTGTGATGCACAGAGACCACGAAGGAGGAGGATTTGTTGCCATCACAGCAATAGACAGAATAGACTATCCTTTTCAATGAAATTTTGGGCACATTTGGATGGCAACATTTCACACTCTGTAGTTCTTAATAAGGCCTTTCCAGAAGATTGTGCGCGCGCGTGTGTGTGCACACATGCACACACACACACACAGGGAGGCTTGTCAGTTTCAGTTCTCATGTGATTACCTACAAGAGATTGAGCACTTATTTGCTAGATGACAGACTTCAAACTTTATAGGTGGGACGATGGTAAACAGTAAGATAACGTAATATGTTTGGATTGCATGCCTTAAACAGCAAGGATAGAAAACATTGGATCACAGTTGAAATCTCCAACATTAGAGAGGCATATGAGCATGGCGCTAGAGATCCATTTAGCTTCTCGAGTTTGGATACACTCACCTGAGTGTATGTTTTCTTAGGAATGACCATCTAGAATGAATCAGGCACTGTATCCCCACCCCACTAATCAGAACCACTAATCCTTACATTACGGTGTAAGAGATTTAGTAAAAATCTGAATCCATTTGTAGATTACTATTGCCAGGTCTAGACATATAACATTTTATGTTATAAGACAGGTATAAAAATAAGATTGAAACTTCTGATGTTCCAGATTCTAAAAATACGGCATTTATTCATTTTGCTGTTCCTTTGAAACTTTGTAAGATTCTTCAAATGAATCTAACCAATGCCTGTTTGGCTTAAAACAGAAAATATATATGGAAAAGTTTATGAATTACTTATCTATTGTCTCATGTATCTTACTTATTGAAAATGACAGAGGACAGCATTAAACATACAATCAATAATCTATGCTTCTCTTCCACCCCCCCCACTTAATCATTCTAAGAAAATCCCTTTTCTGAACTAATGTAATTCCTTCTCTCATACATTAGTTGAAAAGCTTCCATTATTTTAAGCCCTGATTTTAATAGAAGATTAAACAGCTTTTGGTAGATTGTTCCGGTTCATTTGACAGAAGCCTCTGAGAGCGTGATTGAAAATATTTAAAGGTTTTGAGTAAATAAGTCAAACTTCCACTTTTGTTATTTCAAGCTTCAATTATATGCTGTTTCTTCCTGATTCCAGGGAAGTGTAAATACAAGATACAAAAAGCCACATGGAAGTGCAGAGAAGCAAAGAAAATGATGGAGATGGATCCCTTTCTTCAGCCTCTTCTTTGAGCAATTTTTAATTTGTAACTGGAACATGTTTAGATAAGAAACAGACCTTTCTGCGGTGGAGACAGTCACAACAGAGGCTTGGCTTGGCTTGGCTTGGCAGTACAAGTATAATCTAGAGGCTGTCTATAGTGATTGAAGGAGCCAGTTCTGTGAATGGTAAATACAAAGTCACTGGTTTAAGGCTTTGCAAGAATGCCCTGGAAGGATTCCAAAATTATTTTCGCCTTCATATTCAGTACCTTTGGATGAGAGCATAAACCAAGCACCTTACGTTGTCCCTTGCAAACAGAAACAAGCCCTTTTAGAACAAAAGATTCTAAGGAAGTATCTAAAGGGAAAATGAAGGCTGAGGAGGTTCTGCAGTGTGTTAGGTTAAAACAATGCACTTTTAAAAGTTCTTTCTAAACACACACTTTATGAATATACTCAGATGTAGATACATTGTAACTCACAGAATGTCAGTATGATTCATATAAGCAGTTTGATTTGTCTTCTAAATAATATCAGTGTACAGTAGTCAGTAAATATATTTCAGTAGTAATACTGATTAGGAACATTTTTTTCATGCAGTTAGTGTATCCCAGTTTTTCTGTTTAAAAAATATTTATTTATTTTAATATTCCAAGGCATGTGCCACTGTATTATTTATCATGCCTTGCTTTTCTGAATTCTAAATATCCTTACAGAAAATTCCACTTTATTCTCCATTTAGAGAAAATAAATGTTTAATAAAAAGTGCATTAAGGAAACAATCTGTGTGTTTAATATCTGTTGACCAAGTGTAAAAGTGTTTTGAGAAATAACTGCAACATTTTACTTTGTATTTCTTAGCTAAAAAAAAATAAAAAGACACTGCACTGCTGAGATTTTTTAAGTAAAAGGATCTATTTTGAAAGCATTTTCAGCATTAGTACAATTGATGGCATTATTTCAATAATATACCCTCCTTTAAACTTCGTGTACAAGATAATTCAGTTTCACTTTTGGCACCAATCTTCCTATTTCTGTTCATACAGAAGTACTCATAAAGAGCTGTAACTTTTCTTTTTTTAATATGCTATTACACATTATGCAAAAAATTAAATCACAGCTGCTGCCTTACTTTAATCACCAAGGTGCTAATTAAAGCATGCATTCCAACATTCAGTTTAGGAGTAAATTCCTTTGTAATTAACAGGACTTTTTAAAAGTACAGACATAACACTCTCTTCAAAACAGGGTTTTTAGAACCTTTAGCAACACCAATGCACCTGCTTGCCCACCAGGATTATTGTGTATGAATAAATCAAGAAAGAAATTTGTTCAGTCAAATTAAGTTCAAAGAAATCAAAAGCAAATGCTGAAAAACAATTTGAACCTGAATGGAATGTAAGTCATAATCAGATTGGATAGTCTACAAAGCTTATTTCTGGCTGCTTGCAAAATGTACTGTTCACCTCTAGTACAAAAAGGCCCTTCACGTCAAAGAGGAAGCAATAGGAAGCTATCATGGAGGAGTATAAACAATTTTAGGTTATTATAATAAATATTTTCAGTTAAAGGGGAAGGAAGGTCAAGACTTAAATGCAGAAAAGATTGTTTGTTTATGTTTAGTCCTAAGATCTGGATAGTTTGTTACTGGAAGAAAATAAATATATTATTGGAGCAGCTAAAAAGGAAGCTGGGTGCATGGATGCATATAGACACAGTGCCCTCCTGAGGAGAACCTGAGACTGGGTTTACTGGCCCTTATACACACTAAACCTGCTTTTATAGTTAATTTTTTAGCTATGAAAATCACTACTTTGGTTAAAGGTGGACATCAGCTGTCTTGCCACTATTCCAAGAAGTAGATAATCAACAATCTGGAATGCAGCCTATTATGCTCTAGTACAAAGCTTGCCATCTGGGATTTTTTTTAAGCAAATGGTTGATTTAAACTGTGATGTTTTCACTATCACACTTTAGTCTCAAAAGACTGCAGCAATTACAGCTTGAGCCTAAAAGTAGGCTGATAGTATATCAAAACCTAATACCAAACTTATCATGCATAAGGGCTTTCTCAAGCTCCAAAGCCATTGCTTATAAGCTACCTAAAAGTTATGTTCCTGGAAATAGTAGGCTCAACATAGTCAAGGGAGGAACTCACGGCTTGTATTAAAGAAATTTCTATGACATCCCAGTATGAGACACAAAGATACACTTTTTTCCGGAAATCAATCCATATTTAAATTTTTATTTTGAAAAAGTGTTAGGCTGCATTAAGAATATTAAACAAGAAGTAACCTTAAAGTTCATCATATAACTGATGCATCCTGAATTCTTGAATAGCCTAAAATTTACACCCTGTATCCTCAGAACTACCCCAAAAATTCAGCATCCATAGTCTGAATTCTCCATAGAACAGGTCATTGTTTCTTTCATATTGTTGGTTCTTCTAAATAATTGCATATGCTTATAATGTATTTAAGACACTGGTGATGCCTTTAAATGTTTCGCAAAATCCAGGGCTCCTTGGACAACAGGCTTTTTGAGCAGCCTTTTAAACAGTTCATTCATGTCTTCATGCAGAAATGACTCCCCTTGTAAACATTTACTCTGAAATGTACAAGCATTGTAATGTCAAAGATTTAAGTAACTTCAAGTCAAAATTTCACATTTGTTTGTTTCAAGAAGAGAATGTTATAAGGAATACCTTTTTCCTGGGTACAGCAGATGCAACACGAGGATTAAAAGTCATCCCTTTCATACTGTAAGCCTCAAAAAGTTCTGTAGGTGACCTATGGTGAACAGTTATATAGACTATTAAGACGGTCTAATATGGGAAAAAAAGTAACTTGTGTCCTAATGATGTGTTTGCAAAAAAAACCAAACAAACCACCCAGCAGCACAGTATTCTAAGCATATAAATCTGGACTGGAGAGTGAACAGTTGTAAATGCAACTGAATTGCTTTAAAGTTTTCCAAACCTTGAACAGAAAGAAAAGATCTGCAAAACAGAATAAATCCCTTTGTATATACCCACCCACTACTTTCCTGTCACTAATAATCAAATCCAGGATTACAATACAAAACCTCTGACACTGAACATTGTACAAGGTTTGATTCCCTATTTTCCACTCAGTCTACAATCAAATAAGGTACTTCCTATTCAAGTAAATAACTTAAAAAACTAGATTCATCTATCAATAGCAATTATGGCTGAATAAAGTCAATGGGATCAAAGACTGTATATTACTGAACGCTAGTTTCTGAGGGAAGAGCATCAGAACAACAGCTGTCCCATCCAGCAGAGTTCTTGTATTCTACAGCAGCATATTCCATGTATTAATCAGTCATTTTTCTAGTCAAGCCTGCAGGGCTTTTTTCTTCTATTCATACATTTTGAATTTTTACCCATACTTTCCAAAATAAAAATAGTCATTTTTCTTACCTCCGGCTAAATTCATATTCAAGAGCTCCAGATCCCTCAGCTGGAGCACCAGCGGCAAGATGAGCTGCAAATTTCTGAACAACTGGATGATAGTGCCTCTGAAAAAAGAGGGTTATTAAAGACCAATAAAATGGATTCCATTGTTTATTTAGCTATTTAATTGAGAAGTTACTCAAAATTATATTATCCCAGCTTTAGAAATAGCTGATTAAACTTGCCATGATAAACCAGAAAGTTATCTTGGTAACTTGGTATGGAGAAGTTAAACCACCAGCAATTATTCCACATAGGAGTCAATCGTAGCCAAAAAAGGGAATTTATTGAAGACTAACAAGCGTAAGTAGAAAAGCATCAGTATACAGCATTCAATAAAAATACTGAATATTTATGCAATTTATTAAAAATGAATTTTTGACCACAAGTTTGGCCTATAGTTACCTGGGCCATCAATACTGTCTTCACAGAACATAGCACTGCACACAAACTCCAATAACCAACAGATTTAGATCCCAAGCAGACAACCCTTTCTCATCCAGGAAGCCACATAATTTTTTCTTAGTATAGGCTTTAACCCGTCCCCACCAACCCACCCACCCCCAGCAATCACCATACTGTGGTCTGAATCTGGATTGCAGGCTCTGCATCTACTCTAGAATAAAAAAGTAAAGATGTAGCCACATATGGGTTTAGACTCATCTTCTTTGCTCCTTAAACTCTATAGCACAGCCCTTCAAAAAGGGCTAAATTTCAAAGTTAAACCTTAGACACACTCCCATTAAGCTTAAAAACCTGTGGCGTTAAGTACATAGGAAGATAGCAGCAGCTGGAAAAACAGAGCAAAACACAATGGTAGCTGCCCGCTCTGTGTTGTACAAACAATGCACAGCAAGGGGTAAGTACCAGAAGCAATGGAAGCTCTGGTGAATGAAACTCAATAATGACAATTTTATACTATTTAATTAGTAAATGGTTAGGGGTTTCACATATCACAAACTTTTAAGATGCAAAAACAGATCACGTCAAATACAAAATGATTGTCTCCAAGGCCTAAAGTCAATTTAGGAATCAAAACTGCAACTCAACAGAAGGAGAAAGAGACTAGCTTCCTGTGGTTAATCACTTTCCCATTAATTAGCATATTCAGAAAGAGGGAGCAAGCATGGGAAAGTGCAAAGCAGGATTACAGAGCTAAAAAGGTTTATCAATATTCAGTGATGTATGACACTCAAAATAATGAGTGAAATTCCAGAAAACAATCCTGGAAATTCTTGTTCTTGAATTGAAAAGTTGTCCAATGTTTTTAAAAAGCATTTCCTAGGCAACAAGCACAGACAAATTCAGCAAGTGGCTTCTGTAGCACACACCTGCAAAATATGTAATTCCCACAGGGCTGTATTCTGAGCATTGCAGTATTCTGGCTCATCCAGTTCAGGAAGATAAAGTCCACTCCCTTGGGATTCATTATCTAGGAGGAGGTCCGTTCTTGGGAAAACCTTGAATGCAATTATACAAGAAGTTAGTTTTTTTACAAGAGTTCCATACCAAATCAAATAATTACAGTTGTCACTGTGTTTGCATCTGAGGATAAATTAATCTCACCCCAGATTAATTATTAATGTAGGAAACATGTATGTAGCCTAATACATATTATTAAAAGCCACTGATTATCCACTGCTAAAATTCAAAGATGATCCAATTTCGTTTAGCACAAAATAGTTCTCATGGATGCTATAGTAATTTTGATAATATGGTAAGGATACATCATGGCCAGACCATTTTGTTCATCGCATTAAAGGCATATTTAATTTGTATCCCACCTACATAAAATAAACGACTCAAGAAGCTGTAATAATGAAAAAAAAATAGATGTAAAAAACACAATGACCAGAAACTTCCAGTTAAAATCCAAGCTACAGCATTTAAAATCAGAACTGAACTACAATTTTGAACTACAGCAATTAAAATACTACCAGATTAAATTAAAAGAGTGAACAACAAAAATCAGCCTTACTTTCCAAATTCCTTTTGAAAGAAGCTATCTTTTATTAAACTTCCAGAAAGCAAAGAATTAGCCTGGTCTGGTTAGAGCAGTTTCTCTGAAATGGTAGTATACTGACATATACTAACACATAGCAATATTTATGTACATAGTGTTGTGTATCTTTAAAATCATATCCAAAACTTGTAATGTTTTAGTTTTACATTATCCTTTGTTCACTGTGGTTTTGTTTTGTAATGCACAATAAAAGGCAAATTTAAAAAAAATAATTTTTCAATCTAAAATGCAACAAATAAATCCCCTTACATCTAACATGGAAGAAAATAAAATTAAATATAATTAAAATAATTCTTACAGTACAATACTCCCATGTATTATTGCCAGGACCAATGATACATATTAAAACCAGAATCTTATTCAAACATTTCAGGTCAGTTCCCACTTCCAAAATTGTAATGATTCTTTTGAAAGCTTGAACCATTTCCCCTTTTTAAAGACAGACTCAAATACACCCCAAATATATTTTCTTCATACGCCCTTTTCACATGTTGTCATTAATTCAAAACTTCTATATACCAATAAGACAACTGGTAATCATAATTTACTATACAATTCTTAGCTATAATTAATCTTGCTTAAGTTAGTAAATTTGTTATCCCTTCTTATTTCAGCTCCATTTTGATCAAATTCTGAGTGTAGTGCAATTCAGGGGCATCCATCTATATTTAAACTAAGTATTTTAATACACTTTTTAAAAACTTTCCAAAATTATATATTTACAGTCTCACCACATATGGAAATACATACCCACTTCACGATCATTATCTCCAACATTAATTGGAGTATTTGTTATCTATACAATTCAACTTCATTGGATACCACCTGCATATAATCTTGTTAGAAAATTTCCTTCATTCTTACATACATTTTAATATCCTCTTTGTTCAAATATTTTCCCAATCTCCACTACTAATATTCTTTCCCAAATCTGCTTCCCATGTTGCTTTCAGTGACTCATATTTATCCTGTTCTTTTAAGCATATCTTATACATTGTACTTACTATCCCTTTCAGCTGCATATTCTCATTTATCCTTTTCTATAATCCTATGTTCAAATTTTGTATGCACCCTACATACACCTCTTTTCCTTATCTATTGTGTTGTCCAACTTTTTAACTGAATCATATTATACAAAATTATTTTCTCCTTGCTCAATGTGGATTTTATCTCCCCATTTTTATTCATTTTATCTAACCAATCTTTTAATTTATCCAATTGGTCATTCCTTAACATTTTCCCTAATATCTCCATTAAGTTTAATAGAAACCCCTCTAATTTGGCAATTGGGCATAATGGTGAGATTGATGGCACAGTTTTTTCCTTATGCTTGTTCCAAATTTGCAGTGTATTTTTAAGGAAAGGATTCTCTACCTTCTAAATAATATTTTTCTTTTCATATTTAAACATAAGATCTATGAGGGATATTTCTAATTTGGAAGATTCTAATTTTAACCATTTCACCTTATTTAGCTGTACTATAATATCAAGAATATATCGCAATTTATTAGCTATATAAATTTACATTAGGAATACCCAATCCCTCTATCTTTTGTGACCATCTTTTTAAATTTATCCTTGCTTATTCATCCACATTACAAACCTTATTAATCATATTTTGCAACTCTTGATCTGTTATTTTAATCAGTAGCATCATAAAGAAAAAATTCTCTTAGGCAGTATTTTCATCTTTCATAACACTATTCTACCAAACCAAGATTATCCAATCTTCCTAAATTAAACCATTTTCTCTTTTATTTCATTTTTCAACTTACCAAAATTATCCTTTTTAAGCATTTTTACTAACATTCATACATACTTTATAACCCTAGATATCTTGATCTTAAATTCACTATTTTTTCTTTTTCTTCTTTATCACTATAAAATAACATCATCTCTGATTTATCCCAGTTTATCCTTAAACATGCTATCTCTTCAAATTCTTCCAAATGTAATCTAAGCTGATCCATAGCTTCCAATGGATTCTTTTGTTGTTAATAAAGTATCATCAGCAAATAAGTTGATCTTAATCTCATTTTCGAAACCTATACTTTTTAGTGTATTGGAAAATTTAGAAAAGGAAAGAAAGGAACTAAAGAAATATATACAAAAGAGAGATCTAAGAATCCTAGTAGAAATACAAGCTAAAAAAAGGAATTAGGAAATGTGGAAGTAAAAAAAGTGCAGAGAAACTTAATATATTTGAACAGGAATTATTCTGACTTTAGTAATAAAAGTTAAAGGATTTTGGCCAATTCCGCACAACAAAAGAAATTTAAACATTCAATTGGAGCAGTTAGGGATGAAAATTGGAAGTGTAATCTAACGAGATAAATTAGGAATATTTTTTAAGTTTTTCATGGTCATATACAGGGGGAGAATCTAGATAAAGTTAGATTGTACATAGAGAAAAATGTTGGGGAAAAGCTAAAACAGAAGAATGTAGCCATAAGTGAGCAAACAATCAGAGAGGAAGAACTAGAAGAAAGTATTAATAACTTAAAAAGAGGGAAATCTCCTGGGATGGATGTGTTAGGAACAGAATACTATAAAAAATTAATTTGACACAAAAAAAAGCTTTAATAAAATACTAGAAAGATTTTATTTATGCCAGCATTTTGGAAATATTCTACAAGAGTTCTGATTCCTAAGTCTGATAAAGATTTGACCAATCCAGGGTCTTATAGAACTACAGCACTGATAAATCAGGACACAAAATTTTTACAGCAATATTGAAAAATAGAATAAATTTATGATAAATTTATTCAAATGAATCAAAATGGCTTTATAACAGGGAGAGAGATGGCAGATCTAACTACAAGAGTCTTGAATATATTAGAGTTTATAGATAAAGGTGCAAGAGCTGGTATAATATTCCTAGATATCTTTAAAGCTTTCGATTGTGTGAAATGGCCATCAATAAAGATATTAATAGAAGCATCAGGATTTGGTAAATGATTTAAAAGTGTAATTGAACAATTATATTCACCCAATGTAGCAAATGTAATAGTAAATGTTGGTGTAACAGAGCAAATGCTCCTAGGCTGAGGTAGTAGACAAGGATGTCCTCTTTCTCCAATACTGCTTGTCATAGAATTATTAGCAAATAGTGTTAGGAAATTTGATGAAAAAATAAAAAGTCTAGCTTCTCTGAATTCCAAAGAATAGATGCGAAGAAGACTCAATCACCAGTCTGATTTCAAATAAAGATGGTCCATGAATGAGAGCGCCCTCAAATGTTTTGGCCTTATCTCCTAAGGTATCTAGTATGAACTAGGACATTTGAGGTGTTAAAGGGTTAAATTCAGCACTCTGATTTGTATCCTGAATCTAATTGGAAAACAAGTGTAGTTTTTTTCCAATGTTGGTTTAAGAAACCCACTTTGGCTCCCACAAATTGAAATTTCTGGCATTTATTATGGTAGTCCAGCTTGGAGGTTATTCAAAGCATCTATGTCCAGCTAGCATTTTCCAACTGCAGCCACAGGAAGCATACCCTCCTAAGCTGGTAAAAGGTACTCCTGATAGCAGCTGATGCTGAATGTATACAAGGGTATTCCTGTGAACCAAGCTCCTCATAGACCACTGCCATCGCTGATTAATCTTGCCATCTTGCCTGTTCACCCTTATTCAGTCCGTTACGGCTCACAAACATCTATTCACATTACCTGGTGTGGCTAAGAAAGAACTGAATTTTATCAGAATATTGATTTAGTAAACCATGTTATGCAAGCCCTTGTCCTATATATTTACTATAGAAACATATATAATAAACATTATATAGATAAAGGTAGACCAGAGAGCTTCAATTATGGGCGGTATAGAAATGAAATGAAATAAAAATAACAGAAGGAAAAAACAGATGAAAACCACAGGGTGGGAATGCTGGCTTGTCAAACCCCATATAACCCAAATGGAGTGGAATTCTCAATGACTCTGGCGGGAGGGGGGAAATTGTCATGGTATGACTTTTTCAAATGCTATAATGCACAAATTTTAATAGTGTGAGCTTTTAGGCAACATCTTAACTTTTCAGAATCCAGTGGAGATGCATGAACAGGTCTAGTAGCACCCATGTTACTAAGAACTTACATGTATTAAAGTTCTATTGGTTGCCAAGATCCCAATGCTGGAATTTGGAAGGACATGGAGTGCTAAGGTGCACAGGCGCTTTATAAATGCAAGAGCTCTCTGCTGTGAAACCTGTTTCCTACGTTTGGTGAGCATTAAATCCAGGCATTCCAACAGTATGGCCACTTCTTCATTTGTAGCACCTTAAACACAAACAAATCAAAATACACTTAAGTATAAAAGTATAGCTAGAAACTAGCAGAAAGCATCCTGTCCCTTTAATTTATTGAGGAAAGGCTCATGAATTAAGAATTAGTTATTTAGTAGAGAAGGACACTGCAAAATTGAACAAAAGATTTTATTTATTTATTTAAATTTATACTGCCCATAAGCCCAAAACAGCTGTCTGGGTTGTTCAAAGTAAAACCAACAGTACAAAATAAAACATCAAATGATAAAATCAGTAACATTACAATCTAATATACATGATGTAAAAACAACCACATTCAAGTGTCCAAAGTACAGCAGCAGAACAATAAACACAACATAAATACAGAGTTAGAACTGGTTTTAAAAGAATTAAAATCATTTAACTATTAAATGCTGGGTAAATAAAAAGCTTTTTGCCTGGTGCCAAAAGGAACAGATAGCAGGCAGCAGGCACATCTCTTTGGGGAGCTGATTCCTCAGTCAGGGTGCCACAACTGAAAAGGCCCGCCCTCTAGTCACCACCCTCTTTACACTGAGAATTATTTAAAAGTGCATTTGTTTGCTGATGGGCCAAAGTAATACATACCACATATTTCTACAAACTCAAGGCATGCAATTTTCAATCCATCTATCCCAAAAAATATAAAAGGCAGCACTCAACAAACAATTCTCTCTACTAGAAAGGTACTATAAACTCAACTATTATATAGCAATGTCATTTCAACTACTGACATCCCATGAAACAACAGTTAGATAGTAAGAATATACCAACTATATTAAAACATGTTGAAATCAATAATTACCTGCATGTAGGTTAAGTAATGTCTTATAAAGGTATGTGTAGAACTTCAAAGGGTCAACATTAAGGACATCACCTATCCAAAATAATACAGTTAAGTTTGTTTCTGTAGCTGGCAATATTGTTAAGTATGCCACTTCCCAAGTAGCAAGAAACAACTCTATATGATTCAGTATACAAGCAGACCTGATCAGAACATGTATTCCGTAAAGAAAACAAACACAACAGTAAAACCACTGAACCTACCTCTATTCCAACTGAAAACTACCTTCTTCCTGTCCTCTGCCAACTCCATCTTGCTACATCCTGGATTACTCTCCTTGATTAAAGCCTTTCCTTGATCCCTCTCAAGTTTACCATGCAAAACAACAGATCAATTCAAGCCAATCACAAAAGTCAAAGTCATCACGTAAATCAAACTGGCTTACCTTGACCAGACAAAATATGAAATGCAGAAAGAATGCAATGGAGGCTCTCTCTGTGGCTTAACACCTATAAATACAAGAAATTAATCACAAAGGCATAGACCATGGGTCCTCAAACGACGGGCCACAGGCCGCATCCAGCCCACCATGCTCATTTATCCACCCCATCTCAGAGCTTTTGGACTTGCTCAGAGAAAAGGATCTCTGAGCGAGTCTGAAAGCTCTGAGCTGGCGCAGGTGTTCTTTGAAACTGAGCAGAAAGCCAGCGCATGTGCCAAATTGTAACAGCTCAACTGCATGTACACCAGCTCTCCCCCACACCCACTGCACACACATACAGAGCGGGACTATAGAGCGGGAAACAGAAGAGAGGAGAGAGAGACGGAGAAACTAAAAAATGATTGAAGGTAAGAAAAATACAACTTTTTAAATCTATGTTTAATTATGTGAGCCACATCCCCGGACTGTGAGCGCCTTGCCAAGCCCAAGGGTGGACAGGCTGAGGTGGAGCGGGGCCTGGGCTTCCGCGCCTCTGCTGCAACGTTCTCTGAGAAAGCTGTGGCTGCCTCGCTGAGCCCAGGCGCGGGCGTGGCAGGGAGAGGCCGTGGCATGGTCCCTTGCCTCCCCTCGCCTTGGCCCATGGAAAGCAGCCCTTACTTCCCTCCTCATGGCCCTCTCCCAGCCAGGGGAGGCATCCCACACCCGCCTCTCCAGCCTCCCGCTTCTCCCCCTCTCAGAGCTGGGCGAGTACCTGCAAGGGGGACCTTCCTCCAGCTTGGAAGCAGGGTGGCAGTGAGGAGCCAGAAAGGCCTTGACCGAGGCAAGCGCCCTCATGGGTCCCCCTCGTGTCATGCTCTCCCTTTTGGTGGGCGGCACAGCAGCATCTTGGGCTTCTGCTGCAGCCCAAGCAAGCGGAGCAAACATTTTAAAATTATTTTTTAAATGTTAATTTTTATATTTATTTTAATTTAATTAATTTTTAATGTGCATAGGAATTTGTTCATTTTTTTTTTCAAACTATAGTCCAGCCCCACAACAGTCTGAGGGACAGTGAACTGGCCCCCAATGAAAAAGTTTGAGGACCCCTACCATAGACTAAGAGTGATCTGAGCAGAAACAAACTTACCCCTGACACAATAAGGGAATGTAGAACAAGCAAAAGGTCATCAAAAAATTCCAAGTTTATGAGGTGGGCAAACCTAAAAGCAAGAGAATTAAAACCATGTTTTTGTAAAAGATTCATCTTCCAAACACAAATAATTTTAATTTTTTATTAATATGAAGTGCATATTTAGTAACTTTCAAAAGGATTAGTACCCCAAATTACTTTGAAATCCTTACTTTGCAAGACCTTCCAACACAGCAGGCAAAACGGGTGACTTCTGCGCTTTCTTTAATATCCGAAAGTAAGTTAAAAATACTATATTCAACGTTTCTGTATGCTGTAAGGGAAAGCCACACAAACATATATTGAATATACTGACTTCATTTCAGTTGAGCTCTATTCATGCTTAATGAAATTTTGAAGTCATTAATCCAAAGCTATTTACATCTTTCCAAGAGCTCAATAATTCCTTGTGAAATCAGTCCCTAATTATCTGACATAACCACCATTACTGTAATCTGTAATTTTATAAACCTGCAATTACTGAATTGCTAAGAATGAACAGACCGCTAATCTGTTATTGTACCCTAACGTTGTCTAGAGCATGGCTGAGCAACCTTCTTTCTGTTTAGGGCTACATACTCATGAGTAATCTTTTGGGGGCAGAGCTGAGCAAGCATAATTCTCCCACGTCTGCCACCCAGGGCTCTGTAATACAAGCCAGGTCAAACAACCATGTAGATCCTTTTTCTTCAGAGAAATTGTGACCAGGTTTGATATGCTTGGCCTTAAAGCTCCTGCCTCTTGTAGCATTATCAAATTTTGATCACACTGAATTTTCCCAATGAAGAATCTACACATGACCTGAAGTTTGTTAGGCTGGCTCGTTTTCTTGAAAGAATACTTCTTTTGCTTACTCCATAGCTTTTCAGAGATGTCCCATTTTGTTAAATAATGATGCAGTGGAGCCAGGGCTCCAGGAAAGGATGTTCCTGTATCTTACTTTACAGAAAACAATACTCCATTTCATGGCATCCTCTATTTGAAAGGCTGTTCAATCCAAGTCTGATGTAAAGATAAAGCACCAGAAGTTGGGAGTGTTATGATAAGTCATGCTCTCTTGGCTAAACCCGGACAAATTGTGAATGGAAGAGAGAGTTTACAGTGCAAATGTTTATTGGTGAACCAATGTTAATATCTGGCTTATTTAGTCTTCCTGATATGCTACCTATATACCAGATGAACAAGGGGGCACTGACGAGTTATAGCAGAATATAGGCTTTCACTACAACAATGCAATGGAAGTCTTCAATGCAGTTTCTTGCTGTTATTAAATTGTCGTTTGCAGCTCAGGGTATGAAAGAACCTTCCTCCTAACTGTCAACAATAAGAAATGCTCTAAGATACAGCAAAAATGACTATACTAATTAATGGTTACAATACGAAGCTCTAAGTAACCCTGATCTCCCTGGAGATGTAGATTGTTCTGGACGATTTGGAGACTTCCTATTTGTTTATATATGCTTAGATTCATTTCAAACATAAAATTCTCAAAGGTTCTTACATTCTGTTTCTTAGTTTATAGGATTTTTCATTTTTAAAATGGATGCAAGTTATTCTTGTACAGAGTACATGTCATCTGCTCATGCCAAGCAAACAGACCAAGGCATCGGGAGGGGACAGAGGCCTCATGACAACTCAGCTCCTTAGTGCCTTTACGTTCCTCAGCAGGAGTGAGGTCCCATGGGACAGGACGAGATGGGAAGACAGCCTTGGGAGAGTTCATCATAATCATGCCCATGCTATTACTGGAAACTGGACTGGAGGAGAACGAGGGGGCTCCAAGCAGCAAGTGGGCTACAGAACAAGGCCACCAGGACCACATGTTGGACCACCCAGACCTAGAGGCTCAAAGATCTTGTAAAAAGTAGAGAGGCACCACACCATCTAACTAGGGGATCACACCCAAAAAGGGGAGATGTACTCATCACTCTGGGGGAAATACTTTTGTCTCTTTGTTTTTCAACTGCTAGCTCCCCAACTGATTATGGTCAGCTGTAGGCAAAGTAATCTACATGCAGCGTTGCTTAGTCAATATCCATGGATGCTGCCTATTTTCCCATTGATAATACACCCTCAGCAGAACATTGGCCAAAAAAGCCTCTGTACTTTGACCTTTTATAGGTGCAGACTTGCAAAGCTCTGAAATAACAATAGTGCCCATTTTTGCAGCCCCACACCAAAAAAGGATAACAAGCTGGTGCAAATTCATTTAAAGTGCCACTTGAACATCATCAGAGCAGCTGTAACTAGTAGTGATAAAAAACTCCATGAAAAAAGAACATTGACAAAAGGGGATAGAGAATGAAAGGAGAACAAATAAAATCTGCCACACAGGCTCCTGATAGCTGCTGGAAGACTAGGGGATGGGGAAGGAAGGGGAGAAGGCGAATGAAAAGAAGCCATAGTAAGCTCAATCATCTATCAGTCACAATGTGGGTTGCTTTGCAAACAACCCCCACTATGTAGCTTATCAGTGTCATGTGAACTCAGGCACTCTCTCATCCAACCAAGCAAGGAGTAGAACTCTTTGAGAGGTTTGAACTGATAGTATGCAGAGGGATTCTGAAATTAGACTACCTCATTCTAAGATATTGTAAAAAGCAAGCACCAATTTCTACAATGAGATCAAATTCTACCGGCTCTTACATTTACAATGCATGCACCTCTACCTACCAAAATCCCCTAATTTCTATGTTTTTATTAGGTTTCTATGTTTCTACTAGGCTGGACATGCACATGGTAGGCATGTCATGAGCAGAGTTAGTTGGAGCTGGGGGTCAGACTAGATGGCCCAGGAGGCTTCTTCTGACTTGCTCTGTTTCCAATTTCTGATGTACAACAGAATTAAAAAGATAATTTGGAATACAGTTGATATTTTGCAGGATTTGGTCTTCTTTTACTACACATAGGTGCAGAGATACTTACCAGTTTCAATTTTTTCTCTGCACTTTCTGAAGCTTCTACTTCTAAGAGTTCTTGCTCCAGTTTCTCTTCTGCTTTCTTCCACTGAAAATGGAAGGAAACAAATATTCAGACAATAGTGATAAAACTATTTTTAATCACTGAATCAGCTCATGTGTAAAATTTTGAATCTTCCAAACCATGGTTTGAAATCTGAAAGGTCAGGAGTGTGCCATATCTCTTATTCCTCTTATACACTCTGATCCAGTTAGTTACTTCCCAATTCGGACAATCCATAAAGTTTACCATCTCATCTTGTCTAATTACTTTGCACTTACTCTCCAGACCAGGAATGGAAACTATGAGAGCATGTATGCCCATACCATAGTCTGGACCCTTGAAAGAATGGTCTGGATAACTGAAAATATCACTATACAAACTGACTCAGAGATAAGGGATAGGGTACTGTTTTCAGTTCTCCATAAAGGGTTTTTTTTTAATAATTCAAGGATTTGTTCAGTTAAATAATTTCATCCAAAAGGACAAGAAATAAGGCAATGGTGTGCAGCAAGGAGAAGGAATCAATACAATATGCAAAGCTGTGCTTTGCAGCATGCTAACAGATTTCTGTTCAGCATTCTATAACCCTGGCCAGGTGATGATTAAGGATCCCAATACAATTATCTAAACAACTAATTTAGACAAACCCAAGAACATCAGCATGTGTTCAGTGTTCAGGTTACAGAACTTCTCAAATAGCTGCTGCTCTTTCACAAGGTCATGATACAAGCTGCTTCTGGAAGACCCCTCAGTTCAAGAGATTGCCACAGGAAGTGCTGTTTGAGAAACAGTAACTTAGTCTCCTTGGACAACTGAACTCATACTTGTTTGGATCTAAGTCAAAACAAGCAGGGTACTCACACCTTCACTAATGAAATTCAAGAAAAGTTTGTTCAGTATATAGTATAAAATACCTTTCTTTGCATCCTTGACAAATTCTTCCTTTTTTCTTTATAGGACATAAATTTCTTCTTTGGAATGATGTCTTCTGCATCTTTTTTTACTTCTACTTCCTTAATTCTTAGGTGAAGTAGAGTCTTCAATACCTATAAATAATCCACAAACATTTCTCAAGTTTATTAAAAAAAAACCCAAAACTTCTTGATATGATTTCTTTTTCATATACAAATGCTAGCTCCCATCCTTGCCAATAGCTCTTGAAGAACTGAAACAGTTACAATATGCACACAACATAAGCTTTTCTCTGGAAGTATAGCTAATGCAAATATTTAAAAACATTTTAATTACCCTATGAAAGGGAGTGAAACCAACCAACCTTTAAAAACCTACTCCAGAAACTTACCTCAGGTCTAACATCATAATTCCTGCTTTTCACAAGGCCAGAAATTACCTTCACCACACCAAGAGAGGCAAAGCCCAGCTTATCCTGTTTGAAGAGGCTTTTTACTGCATCACAGCACATTTCAGAGATCTAGGAAATTGAACATCTCAATTAAAGGTTTGCCTTGTAAAAATCAACCCTTTCAGTATAGTAGTAAGCACTGATATCAGAGTCAATATGCAACACCAACCTGTTTTGAAGCATCATTCATGAGTGGTACTATGAGTACTATAATGTTATTGTGGAAGTTGAAATGAGGCATGGTTACCAGCAGCTCACATAAACACTTCACAGCAACCTCTGCAAGGCCTTTGTATGCCTTTAGTGAAATCACATTGCTTTTCTTCAGCTTCCTTTGCTTCCAGTCTAGATGAAAGATTGTACAAAGTCTGAGTATCTTCTCTACCCAAACTCCCTAGTTATTAATATTCTTTAACAAAAAATGTGCATAATTCCTGCCATGGTGATATATCAATGAGTTTAGAATCAAGCCTCCCTTTTTCCTTTATACCACACTTTTTCCTTTATACTACTGGTGTTTCAATGCTACACCAATGAAAGAGAGCTTACAGAAGCTGACATCCCCATAGGCCCTATAAAATACCTATCCAGGGTGCAGGGGACCCTCCTGACAGGGCTGGTCTGAGGCACAGATAGTTGAAGCAGAACAGGGAGATCTCAGAAAATCAAGCAAGAGTGCTTCATACAGCAAAAGCTCAATTAGCGGACTGATACAACTGGATTCATAGATTCCCCCATAACCATTTGTTCCTGGTAATTTTTGATCTTGGTATTTGGAAGAAGATTTAGCATCTTATGTTTTATTTTCCTCAAAAACTTGGCTTAAAGTCCAGCCATTTGCTTCACTGAATCACTTCGCAGGACACTTAAGGCCATCCAAAGCCACACCTGGATTAATATTTAAATCTTATTTAAATACTCCACATAACAGGAGAAGACTGAAAACAGATACTACTGTAAATGGATCCACAAAATTTCAGCTTGAGGACCAGAGAGAGTGGAGAATACCCTTTGGCCCATTGTTACAAAAGCGATAGATGAACCAGTTGTTATGTTTTTCAAGTGGCACTAAAAATGCCTTTTAGCCAATACATAATTTGTGAGTGCTGTGAATACAATCCTGCATACATTTTAGTCAACATTTCTTTTATTATTTAAAATACTTCTATGCTACGTTTCAGATCAAATGCCCTATAAAATCCACAACTCTTCTGCTGATGGACTGTATATAAATTATACTGTACATAAATTATAAAAATAATTAGAAAACTAAAAATCCCATTCAATGATAAAAAGATAATTAACTTTTGCTGCTTTAATTTACAGATTTAAAAATGCAGGCAGAGTTAGTCTTGTCTGTGATAGCGCTCTTTTATAATTTCACATGCTCCCCCTCCATAAAAATAGTGCCAGGAAATCAAAAAAGGGAACATTTATTGACATCCAGATATTCCAAATCAGTACCTTTAATACATAGCATCCTACTTTTTTCAGCAAGATTGGATCTTAAAACAAAAGAAGAATGATGGCAACAGGGAAAACAGTAATTAAGAGATGGCTGTGGAAAGCCTAGTTTAAAAAAAAGGGATGGTCCTCCACTGCAAACAAAAAATGGGAAGAAAATCTGTATCACAGCACCAGCTCAAAAAAATTACTTAAATACAAAGAAATTGCCACTAGAGCAATTGTGAATGCAGAAAAAACCACTGGTTTGGCGTACACAAATGCCTTTGCATATATAGTCATTTAATAAAAATATTCATACAATATTGTAGTACTATAAGGTCATAAAGCCCAATTTCTGTCTCCTTTAGGGAAACTATAAGTAGACAGAACATATTACACTTTAATAATTAGTACTGTCAGGAGTATCTCAATGAATAGATTTTGCTTTATAGTCAAAGGATTGGCTTAAGACTTAGTCATGACTTATTGAAGTACCACTGATTATATCTATTTCTAAAATCATTTAACTCAGCTTCCAGCCCTGAAGAGTCCCCCTCTGTCATTTGTAAGGGCTTGAAGACATTTTCTCCCAGTGCACTTGAATACATGAAATTTGCCTTATACAAAGTCTTACTACTGGGCCCCCCTATTCTGACTAGCAAGAGCATTCCTAGGTCTAAAAAGCTTTTCCCACTCCATGTATTCAAAATTCAGTCAGAAGATAAAGGTTAAAGGTAAAGGTTTCCCCTTGACGTTACGTCCAGTCATGCTTGACTCTAGGGGGCCAGTGCTCATCTCCGCTTCCTAGCCAGGGGAGCCAGCGTTTGTCTGCAGACAGTCTCCATGGTCATGTGGCCGGCATGACTAAACACCGAAGTGCACGGAACACTGTTACCTGCCCACCAAAGTGGTACTTTTTTATCTACTTGCATTTGCATGCTTTCGAACTGCAAGGTTGGCAGGAGCTGGGACGGAGCAATGGGAACTCACTCCGTTGTGCAGATTCAAACCAGGGACTTTTCGATCAACGAGCCCAGCAGGAAGTAAAATAAGGAACCTCCTGCATTAGAATTATTCTCCAAAACTGATTATTTCCTACAGAGATATTACTTGAGTGTTGGAAGATCAACCTGGAGATCACATGCATACCACTGGCCATAACTTCTCAATGTCTATACATGGCACAGGTAACCTGGAAAAGATCTGTGCACATTTGCTACAAAGGGCAGTTTTTGCACATTCCATATATGAGATAAAATAGCTGCTTTATAAGTAGCCTGCTAATTCGATTTATAGCTCACCTTTTTTCTTACAAGAACTCAAGGTAGCTTACCTAATTCTCCTCTTCCTGCTCTCAATCTTATCCCCACAGCAATAACCCTCTGAGGTAGACTAGGCTGAGTCTGTGACTGGACCAAAGTCACCCAGCTGGCTCCATGGCTGGAAGGGTAATAGAACTCAGACTGTCCGAGTCACAATCCCCGCACTCTTAACCACTACACCACACTGACTTTCTATTATACTAATTGTACAGACAATCACTGCATGGGTTAATACATTTGCATGGGTTATCAACCTGTGTGTGGAATGATTTTGCTTTAGGGCAGGTTAGATAATATATTATTTGAGTCCACTTCTACTTCTAGAATACTATACCAGTGATAGTCTCTGAAGAATTTAATGTGATACCTCCTCACAGACTCTCATCATTAATGAACATATAGTTAGCCTGAAAATAATAGACTGCAAATCTAAGGAACTGAAAAAAACATTGGTTGGAATCTGCATACATGAGAACACAATTTTATGCTGACTGTTCACTGGCTTTAATGAGACTACTCCTCAGTGAACAGTGGTATGTTTTCCTTTGTGCATTTTTTAAGAAATACCAAGCATTACATTTATTTCTTCCTTTCCACTCCTTACATCCATCCAACATAATATACCTTTCACAGTTTGTTCCAGGTTTTCTAAGTAAAACTTGTATTGGCTCACAAGGCCTTCCTCAAATTCTCTTAATTTCTGAGTTTCTTTTTTAACCTGAGGAAAAACAAAGAGATATTAGAAAAATATATTCCTATACTTCTACTGTGTGACAACTATAAAGTGTCTGAAGTTTCAGAATGTCATTCTGTATTATAGACACTGATTATGGCATAATAAATCTACTTCAGATTTGCGCAAAGCAAGTATGCACATGATACCTGAGAAGCATCTTTCCATTCACTGGATATATCCCAGGCATAAAATATTTACACTAAGACAACTCAGTCTCCATGCTAAAAATATCTCTACAGCACATGTAAACGAACTCTAGACTCACAACCCCCCATGCCCCAGCCAAACACCACTGGTCTACATTTGCAGGGGTCATGTGAAAACTCTCAGTTAATGAAATACACAGCTAAACCTCACTCACCTCCTTTGCTTAGACAAATTTGCTGTGGGAGGGGGGCGGTTTTGTTTCAAGGAAAGTGAAGCAAACATGGAAGCAAAATGTGTATTTAAGGCTCTCCTGCTTTATTTTTTTTTTTTTTTGTCTTTCATTTTCCACAATTTGAATCCTAGATTTTTATTTACTTGGCAATTACACATCCTCCACAACTATATTACATAATTTTGCTGGCTTCCTTTGCCTGTATATGTGAATCTCTTCCTGCCCCTCCTTCACATACAGACCATTATCCTTATGACCATCCTGTGCTGTAGATTAAATTGAGTAAGTTTCTTAATCAAGGGATTTGAATCTGAAATTCCTTAGCCCTGTCCAACATTCTAACCATTACGCCATACTGTCAAGTTAATTTCCACTGCAATGAGTTGCACACAATTATTAATAAGTATTTGTTAAAAGTGAGCATCCAAACGTTTTGAGAAAAGGGTTAAGTGTTCATATCCAGTAAACAAAAAACCAATGTCTTAACAAGTAAGATTAAAAAAAGGGTTATGAAAAAAGTTCAAAATTCAAACCAGAAAAATTCATGTTAGATTAGCAGTCTACTTTTCTTCTGCACATGCCTCACTCCCAACAACTATTAAGCCACTATTAAAAAAGCAAACCCTGTTATCTTACCTTTGTGTTTTTCTCCCTCTCAGTTAAAGCCCGGATTTTATAAGATGGAGTAATATCTTTGAAAAGCTCCAGCAAGGAAATCATTACTAGCTTTCGCACAATCACAGCCACATTGGGATCCTGTTCCATTAACATTGCACGCAATTCTTTCAGCTTCTTTATCTGTTCAAGGATGAAAAGCCCTTGAAATATGCATTCACAAGCATAAGTTCAAACAAAGTTCAAACAGCCATTACTATTTTAAGGGAGAAGCAACAAAAAGGCTACTGTTACTGTTACCTTTGGAGAACATACAGAATCTAAGACCAACAACTCAGTAATTCTCTAGATTAGCCTTTCCCAACCTGAATTCTTCCTCATGCTTTGGCTTAAAGCTCAGTCATTCCTGACAATGCCAGCTACAGTCCCAGCATGCCTAAATGTGAAATAGCTGCTTTTAACTTACACAGGGTGGCCTGCTTGGATGATACACATCTTCTAACTAGAAGATGAAAAGGAAGTGGTACATGCAGAACCACACACACTTAAAAATGGTGGGGAAAGGAGAGCAATGCCCAGATCCCAGAAAATTAATCATCAAGTTCAATTTCTGTGGGACCATCTTCACATTAAATTTTTAACGGCGGTGAATTCAAATCTCCAAGATGATTCTGGCTCCTTTAAAAACTGCAGCCACACTCCCAATAAAATCTGGGGAAGCAGGGAAATATTTCTCCTAAAAAAGGAACTCTCTGAATAAAACGAAACTGCCAGATCACAGTAGGCCTACTGCTTAATCTTCCCAGATGATATCCAAAATGGTCTTCATGACCAGCCAGGGTCAATTTGCTTCCAACATTCCAAAAAGCAGCTATCCCCAGTGGGAAAACACAAGAACCAGAAGTTTATCCCATGTCTCCAATCTAGTCTTGGGTAAAAAGGTTGTTTACCTCCTCTTAGAGGAGTTTTTGAGCAGGTCAAATCCTTGCATTGAATTACAGCCAGTCAAGATTGTTAGAGTACTGAGAAATACCCTCCCTTAAGGATGGCATAAACCTTGGGTTGGGCCACCCTGCCTTTGGAGGAGGAAAGCAAAATTAATACTATTAATGAATTCTTATATAGAAAACATTTGCAATAGCATCCAAAAATAAGACTACAAACAGGTCATATAGGAAAGGAACCGTTCCCTCCAATGCACAAAGTATATGGTAGCACGTTAGTCATTGTAAAAGTTCACTGTGCCAAACCAAACTAACACTTCTTTCTGCAGTACTAATGATACACTTGTAACTTTGAACTAGCTATGTGCTGAAGCTCTGCAGAATCCAGTCTTCTAGCGTTCAGCTCCATCTTGGGAAGCAAGGCAAGCAGCTTGGAAATTTGCAAATGTTTGTGGAATGACGATTGTGCAACTAGCAACCTTCTCTCACATCACAGGCAGGAGCACAAAGTACTGCACTTGGCATGCAAGAGGAATGCTCCTTGCACAGCTTTCACATGGGACTAGATTGCTGGCTCTAGATCCCTGCCTTGGACTCAAGACCACATCAAAATGGACTGGAGTCAAGGGAGCAGAGCCCAGGGAATCCAACCAATTTCCATTTCCAAAATGGATTCCTCACACATTCCTACTTTGGTCTTTAAATGGTACAAAACATACATTTACTTACTTTTTAACTGGCTAATGTAAAGCAACTGAAATGTTACTTACATTATTTTCTGGGTCAGACAGGATGGCAGATGCCAAGGCAGCTATCTGTAACTTCTTCTCTTGTAGCTTCTTCCTCCTGTGAATTAATAGCTCTTCAGCAGTGAGGGCAGGTAAAGGCTCTTCAACAGCTGATGAAGAAAAGCAGGTAATCTTTTGGATAATGTGTGCACAGACATTTGCACAGCTCTACACTAGAGCTCACAAGGGTGGCCTTTAGAAGAGTTCACAACCAATGGTATCCCCATAAGCCCTTTGTCGAAGCCTTATTCTAAACTAATTAATATTAGAGGTGCTGGTTGGGCTTTTCTATTTTTGATTCAGCTGTGTTTTAGCAATCACTATCAAGCAATACTTCGTGATTTTGCTCTGTTTCATAAGCTGCCTGGATCCCCCCCACCCTTCTTTTTCTCCTTCAAACTTAAGTGTGACTCCCTAAATACATCTGGTAGCATTTTAAGAGAAAAATTTTCATTTTTTTCTATCCAGCAATTCACTGAAGAATATAAATCACAACATGTTCTCTAGACCATTTAAGACTATTTAGACCATTTAAGTAATGAACGCTATAACATTTTAAACAATTAACAGTATCTGAATGAACATTTAAATAATATTTTAACTTTATACTTTGTGAAGTGTTCATTACCTTGTGCCACTTCCATTTCTTCTGCTGTATCCTTCTCTTGCTCATCTTCTTCAACAGTGGCAACTAAAAAAACAGCATCCCTTTAATAATCAGTAACACTAACACTCCAGGTTTTAAACTGGAAACTTGCTTGACAATCCTGATTGTACCTGGTTTTTCCATAGTCTGTGGAATAATTCCACGTTTGTCTTTAATGGGAAGCAGATGAATAAGTTCTTTTTCAGGCTCTATCTGCATGCGCCTTGGCATTTTTTCATATTTCTCAATCACTTCCTCATTTTTACGCTTCTTGACATGAACAGGTTCACTGCACAGTGAAAGACACAAACAGTACATCAGACTTCATATAGAAAATATCTGTAAAGCTTACATTAAAAATAGTTTAACTGGATTGTGAAGTAAAATATGCACTAAAATATAACTCCAATTTCTGTGTAATAATACTTCATTAGACTTAAAGACAGAATAATGGGCAGACCACCTGCCATGCAGACTTTTTCAAAACTCAAGGTTTAGCAATGAAAATTGTTTTGCTTTTCCATTTAGCATAGAAATATTAAGCATTTATAACTGTAATGACCTAGACATTATTGCTTTATTATTATTATTATTATTATTATTATTATTATTATTATTATAACATTTCTATGCCGCCCCTTGCCGAAACCTCGGGGCGGCTTACAACATGATAAAATACATTGAAATACAATAGTACATAATAAATTACCATTAAATATAAAAATACAAAAAAATACATTGATTTACAAATACAAAATTAAAATTATCAGTATAAAATAAAAATATAGGAGGAGAAAGAGAAGGAAGAAGAAGTTGCCCCGGCCAGATCATATGTTTTAACAATTGAAATGATGTTTAAATAAAAAGGTCTTTACCTGGCGCCGAAAAACCAGTAACGACGGTGCCAGGCGGACCTCTTTGGGGAGTGAATTCCATAGGTTGGGCGCCACCGCAGAGAAAGCCCTCCTCCGGGTACTTACTCTCCTAATTTCTTTCATGGAGGGTTCCTGGAGAAGGGACTCTCCCGCAGATCTCAAAGGGCGGTCGGGCATATACGGACGTAAGCGCTCGTTCAGGTAGCCAGGACCCAAGCCGTTTAGGGCTTTGTAGGTCATAATCAACACCTTGAATTGGGCCCGGGCTTCAATGGGAAGCCAGTGAAGCTGATGGAGGACTGGAGTCATGTGAGCATAACGCCCCGTCCCCGTCAGCAACCTGGCAGCTCTATTTTGCACCAATTGAAGTGTTCAGACTGTCTTCAGGGGAAGCCCCACGTAAAGCGCGTTACAGAAGTCTAGGCGGGAAGTCACCAGCGCGTGTGTCACCGTCGCCAGGCAGTCGTACTCCAGGTAGGGGCGCAGCTGATTAATCAGCCGAAGCTGAAGGAAGGCGTTCCTCGCTACCGCTGTCACCTGAGCTTCCAAAGAAAGCTCCGGGTCGAGGAGTACTCCTAAGCTGCGGACCTTATCCCTAAGAGGGAGTGTTGCACCATTCAGGACCAGGTCAAATCCACCCCCTCCGAAACCCGATCCGCCAACCAACAGGACCTCCGTCTTGTCTGGGTTGAGTTTCAGTTTATTGGCCCTCATCCATTCCCTTACCTCGGCCAAGCACCGGTTCAGCACAGCCACTGCCTCACCTGGATTAGTGGAGAATGAGAGGTAAAGCTGGGTATCATCAGCGTATTGATGATTCCGCAGCCCACACCTCCTGATGACCTCTCCCAGCGGTTTCATATAGATGTTAAATAGCAGAGGGGATAGAATGGAGCCCTGTGGTACCCCATGGCATAGCTGCCATGACGCAGAGACATGGTCCCCCAGCACTACCTTCTGGAATCGACCGTCGAGATAGGAGCGGAACCACTGCAAAGCAGTGCCTCCAACCCCCAATCCCGCAAGTTTATCCAGAAGGATACCATGGTCGATGGTATCGAAAGCCGCCGAGAGGTCCAGAAGAACCAACAGGGATGTACTCCCCCTGTCCTTCTCCCTGCACAGGTCGTCGTACAGGGCGACCAAGGCAGATTCAGTACTGTACCCGGGTCTGAAGCCGGACTGAAAAGGAAATTTTCTAACAAGTTCTTAACAGCAGTGATAAGGATGTAATTAATGTCATCAATGCCTATGACTCACTGAAAAGCACAACATTCCTTCCACAGCTATACATTCTATTGTGAATGCACCAAAATTCTATCCTTGTCCAGAATCTGTGCACCACCTTCTAAAGGACTTGGAATGCGTATCTCTGCCATCTTAAAAACCTGCTATCTCCACTTCATACTATTACAGGAGGAAGGCAATATTGCTTGATATGGCTTTCAACAGTAAAACACCACAGGAAAACACTATAATCTGTCAAAGTCTTTAGCATCTGAGATCCTACATGAACACAGAAACTATTATTTGCTGAATTTTATACTTTGTTTACATCAATGCAAGTGAAATGAAATCATGTTGAAACATATTGAAAAACTTATAGTTATTCAATTTGCTAACACCTACTTGGAAGTTAGATCTCTTGTTATAAAAGATGCCTTTTGAGCCAGCTCTTCCATTAATTTCAGATCATCTTCATCCATCATATCAAGAGGGAGTGCTTCTTCTTTTTCTTCTTCCTCCCTTTCCGCTGGGGAAAATACAAAAAACAGTTAGAAAATACAAAAAACAGAAAGACGGAGACAGATACAAACACACACAAATGCACAGCACCACAAAATACTTTGCAAATGAAAATACTTTGTATTATTTTTCCATGTATATTTCTAGATCAGCACCAGAGGGGAAATAAATAAGATCAACTTTTTAAAACTCTTTCATCCATATAGAAACACCTATCCTCTAGCCCCTGAACACTTACAATATTAAACAGCAGCAAAGCAACTTTTTCCATGAAGGAAAACAGTGCAAATAGTGAACGTTCCTAGAAGAATGACATTACATTATTAAAGTGAGCTGGTTTTCAAAGAAAAGAGAGAAGTTAAATTCGATGGCAAAAGATCATCTCTGAAAGCCCTGGTTCCCATTACTTACACACCTACACTCACATCTCACCTGGATGCTTTTTTTTATCATCCAAAGCCATTGGTGCCCTGGATACAACATCTTTGACAGCTTGTCTAAGTTTCCTCTGTTCCTTTCGGTATTTCTTGGCTGTACTCTGCTGTTTGAACTGTTTGTTTTTTAACTTGTTGTCAAGTTTGATTTTACTTGTCTTCAATAATTTGCGGAAGCTTGGAACTCTTTTGGTATTTCTTCTCTGGCGTGAATAAGGAATAAATTAGTTGACATTTTATATAAATCTATAGCATTCATTAAATGTTTTAAGTCAAGGTGTCCAGCACTAAGAACAAATAATTACAAATAGGAAGAATCTTGTTTCACTCATTCATTCATTAGACAGCAATATTAAGGGCACCATCCAATGTTGCTGCCAGGATCATTTGGAATTCCTAGGATTACAGATTCTATTGCAAAACAGGAGGAACGTGGAGGTTAAGATTGTCTCCATACTTCCTTCATCCTCCATGTTTTTCTCCTCCTGCCAAGGAGAGGCTGAAGATTCATCAAAGAGCAGTGCCACCTGCCTCCACACCCCTCCTTACTGGTTCCAAAGACAGCCCTCCATGTTTGGAGCCCAGCCGGTATAGAAAGAACTGCACCAGTTGCATGGGTGGGGTGTGGCGATCTCCAGGGATGGCATCCTAGCTCTGACCTTGCAGTGTTTTTCCAAGGTTGATGTGAGAATTCCACTCTATCCTATGATCTCCCAGATAATATTAGGAGCTCACAGGACTGCATCCTAAGCTAAAATAGTTAGAAATTGATACAATTAACGCATAAGGGTTTTTTTTAACAGCAAAGCCAATACACATGAATGGAGAAAGAGAATATGGCACTAAAAAACCAACTTTTGCAACAAATTGGGAGTGTGACCACATAAAATCCCTATCTAAAGTCATGTTAGTAGAGACAGGACATTCATGGTACACATTACAAGTCAGCACATTTACCCACTGGCTGTTTCACAATCTTATACTAAAGCAGGGGTGGCCAAACCAAGGCCAAAAAAGCCTATAGTACAGTTACTATATTATAGTAGTAGCCCCTTTTTGCCATGGAGTATGGAAGGGACAGAGTCCAAGGCCAGTATGTGAAATTGGGCTGCTTCCTCTAAGGGCCCTGCTGGAGCTGAGGGGACTGCATTCTAGGGGAGGATCAGGTCCTCATTGAATCTTTCAGTATGGCAGCTGGCAACAAGACTTCCACCTGCTTCTGCTGCTGGGTGATGTCTTGCAGTCAAGTTTCTGAGGCAGCGGTGTGTGGCCACTGGGTTTCCTCCAATATCCAGAGCTAAAAAGAAAGGCCCCACTCTGAAAAGTTTTTAGTTATTTTGGCTTGAAAGCATAGCAGTTCCCTAACAGAAGTTTATTCAGCAATAAGTCTTACTATGTTTGCCACAGCTTACTCCTAGGTAAGTATGCATAAGGTTGCATTAGTTGAAATACAATTTTCAACTATTCATAGCCAAAATGGAGACTCACAAGACCTCTACAAGCAGTAACTAGCCTCATAATTGTAGCAATGTCTGTTTAGCCATAATAAATATTTGCTCATGTCTTGCCGCTCTCAAACATCTGACATTTATCATATACAACTCTTTTGCGGCACAAGTCTGGCTACCCCTGTACTAAAGCAAGGGTTTTTCCGTTCTAGAATTCACTATTTAAAGAGCTCCACTTGATACCACTGACAAATGAAAATTTGTTTTGTTCTACTCTAAGAACTTTGACTCAGTGATGACTGCATATGCATTTGTATTGTGGCATCTAGTAAGGTTACTTTTTGAAAAGCCTTCTACCATAATGGACAGGAAATTCGTATCAGATAAAAGAAACTACTTTTTCACTTAAAACATAGTTAATTCACAAATCTATTGCAATCATTGACCACTTTAATTTATGAAATGATGGCCATCAACTTAGACAACTTTACAAGAAGATTGCATAAATTCCTGAAAGTTTATCAAAGCCCTCTTGATTGTGCTGCTTTCAAGATGCATTGGACTGCAACTCTCATCAGTCCCAGCTGGCATGGCCAACAGTCAGGAAAGCTGGGAGTTGTAGTCTAAAACTTCAGGAAGGCCCCGCACTGAAAGAGGCTGAACTATTGTTTTCACACCCTATTTGTTGACTTCTCAGGGGCATTTGATAGGCCAATGTAGAAAGCAGGTTAATAGACCATAGTTTGATCAAGGAGAGTTTATTTCCTATTCCAATGTTCTTGCTCCTCTGCGACATTTTATTCGGGATTGTTTATACATTTAAGTCACTCTGAGTGCACCGTAAATCGAAGAAAACCAACACATACATTCTGCGAACTATGCCCATGCCTGACCAAGAAGGCAACACGTCCACATCCCCTAGAGAGCTCCCACTACTCACACCCCTTCGGTCTCCAACTGTATCCCTTACAAAACCATCCATTCAGTTGGCTTGATATCTCCCCTTCCTCACACTTTTCCTTATCAAGCCGCGTCCTTCCCCTCATCCCCCAACTCCTACTTCATTCCACCTTTCCCTCGTCTCCTCTCAGCATTGCTCCCACGCTACCTGCCGCTCTCACTCCTCCCCCAACCCATGCAGACGGTACTCTTCGAAACCAGCACGGCCTGCGGGCGCGCGTACGTCGCTCTCTCCCCCTCACCGGCTTCATAACAGCGACAAAGACGCCCAAAAGGCGCAATCCCCTCCTCCGGACAAACCAACGCGCCTCAGACACGCCGGGCGACGGAACCAGTTTCTCCGCACAGGACCGACCGGAAAGCCCGTCAAGCCAACCGGTTTCTAAGTTGCCCACAGCGATCTCTACCGGACTGGAGGGGGAAAGAACCCGACGCCCGTCCGGGACCATAAAGGCAAGAGCCTGGGTTGCTTGTATAGCCCACCTTGGCTAAATGTCAGAGATTAGCATCTCTCAGGCACTCTTTTGGGCTCTCGGGGCTTCGTCACTCACAAAGGGCAGCAGCTTAATCTTTTTTTGTCGTAATGGAAAGAAAATTGCGTCCTTCGCGTTATCTGAATTTCATGCGCGTTGAGAGACTGTCTACTATGAATACGTTTACTTCCAGGCCATTTCATTTAAGTCTAACTCACTTTCAAACGTTAGGCTCCCATACAAATGATTGCTGGCACATATATGCACATGAAAAATAGACCTTGTGACCAGCAACTATGACTTCCACCAGAGAAAACATAAAAACAACTTGCAAAAGATAGTCTCCAAATTAGGGGGTGTAGCAGGCAGCTTAATGTATTTTCAGAGCAACTGCCTGCACTTTCTGGGTCTCATATTCCCTTCCCAATCAGATATATGTCCTCCTAGCCTCAATCTGCACTTTGTATTTACCATTTTGAACAAAAACACTGGAACGTCTGATGTATCTTAATTTGCCTAGAACTGGATCTCAAAACTTGATATTAGAAATACAGATGTAAACATTTGGTTTTTAATATGAACTTTCTCACTTAGGGACATTTTTACAGTTTTTCTAGGGAGGGAATAATCGAAGTATAATGACTCAACTGAGAATGGACTGTATAGAACAGTTTACAGTTTCCTGGACCAACATAAACTATTTAATTCAACTATAAGACATTTGCATTTGGCAATGAATACTGTCTGCTAATTGGTACCAAGTTGTTTTATTACTTTTTCTGTCTCTCCATGCCTTCTTCCTTCAAAGTACAGAACTAAGCAGCCATATGGGTTTGATGCTGCTCCTATCTCCAAGTCAACATCCAGAAAAATGACTGACTAGGCATGTGAAAGACAGCTGCTTCCTGCCAAAATTATATAATCAGGGCTGAGAGCAGCACAGTAGAACTTTAGAATGCAATTTCTTGAACACAAAACATACACATCAGAAAGGGTAGTACTAAAAGATCTCAGATGGAAATAAGCAACCCCTTGAATTTGTTCTGCTTATGCAACAAGCCATATTTAACCTGCTTTTGCATGATTTTGTGAACCCAATAATCACAAATACTGGGAACCCAGCTTCATAACGGATGCAATACTATGAAACTAAGACTGTAATAACCATGCGGAAATGATAGAAAATTGTTTGTGCGAAAAGTAGTGCCCATGTGGAACTCCAGATGTTTGAGTCCAGCTCCCATCGCCCCAGGTGATAGTGAAGGATACTGGGAGCTATAATCCAGAAACACCTTGCGGCAGGGGTGGGGGGGGGGGGGCTACAGTTCCCTGTCCTTGGTTGATGCCGGGATAAATACCAACAGGTATTTGTGATTTCTCTGGCTCTTTCCCATTTTATATGCAATGAATAACTATGCAGTCTGAGTTTGGTTTTTCTGCCAAGGCATTACCAGAGACCATGTCTGTTCAGCTATTTTTCTTCAGTTTAAAGAAATCTGTCAAAATGAAGAGTTTAGTGTTGTGGCATTTATTCTCTTGAGAAGTTACAATCGGAGTTACAATCAACAGTAGCATTCTGCAAAGAATTTAGATTTGGGAGGGGAAAAGTTAATGTTCACACCTGAGTGAGTCCACTTCTATTCTAGATGAGTTCATGAGTAACAGGCATCTTAAGCAAAATCTTTTTTATGTAATGGAGGGGGGGAAATAAAAGACAGTATTCATTCTGCTTACAAGTTTTATTTACATAGGAACTGTCACTAGTGGTCCTGGATGAAGGCTAAATCCCTTATTTACAATTATATACATGTATATACTTGAAAAGTAAGAAAACTGTACAAGAGAACCCAAATAGAGGACATACACTGGAACCAAGTAAGTAAATACATAAGCAAAAAAAGACATTTTAACTTCAAATTGTATGTTGTAAGTAATATTAAAGTATAGTTTTAAATCTGATAACATAAATATTACAACATACTGTAACCCAAATCTTTAAAATAGGTTCTGCAACTTCTCTTAACACTTGACAACCAAAGCAATCTCACTCTTTTTTAATGCACTGATAAATTTTGATTTCATTTACACATACAGGGACCAGGTACAAAAAAATCAATTTTATGTACATTAATACTATCAAATGGACTTAGAAAGAACAAGCATTAGCTGCTCAGGGAGCTTGGATTAGGCAAGGACCCTCCAGATGCTTTGGACTACAACAGCCATTGGCCTCAATAGGCAATGTGAATGGCCAGGAACTGTGAGAACTGTAGTCCAAAATATCTGGAGAATCCCAGGATGCCTATTTTAGTTTAAGAGGTATCCTTTCCATCCCCCTCCAGTTCCCAAGTCATTTTAAAATGTTTTGGAGTGTGAAAGAAGTTGAGGAACTTCCTGTTACCTTTACAGTATGGTGCTGACATAAGATAATGAATTGACAATATGCACTTGGAGTATTCATTATTACACACTGCAGTTCAAAGCTATTGAACTTTGAATTCAAAGGAGAAAAAAGTTTAATATTCAGGGACTCAAAACCTTTAACATTAACTGCTTAAAATGTGCAAAAGGACTGTCACTAGCTTATTAATTTTACTAGTGTTTCTCAAGTATAAGTCACTTTGATTAAAAAAACAAGGAAAAGATTCATCTGATTTTCATGGAACAGAAATCCATTTTTCCTGTAAGCAAGCTACCCACCTAGCAAAATTATGGAAACCTATCAAGTTGCTTTTATAAGCACACTGTCCAAATGTCATGCATGACCACTGCCACCTTTAGGCCAAACGCCTTTTGCCAATGACTGTGGCAAGACTAGGTGCAGCTTTCTCTTTTCTACCTTACATTCTATTAGCTGAAGAGTGAAGCTGCAGTTTCAAAGGAGCACAGCAAGACACACAAAGCCTCCTGTTATCTGGCAAGCATGTATACCAAGACAAAAAACTTATTTGGTCCTAAAGATTTCACTGATTAATTTTGGAGGTATTTGTACCAAAATGTTTGGTTCAGGTAGCAGTTTTTGGGCCTTACTTTAAACACCAGCCCTCCTCCCAAAAGTGCCTTTGTGGTAATCATAAAAAAGGTATCCCTCAAAATTTTAAGTACCAACAAAAGTTATTACAAATTTTATTGCATTCAACTTTAAATATTAAATATGCCTTAGTCACTTTCTCAGTTTCACAAGATTTTTTTATTGTTCTGCTTCCTGGGAAAAGGAATCTTCCCACAAATATTCTTTAATACTGGCAGCAGAATGAAAATTATTGAATTCCATACTGCATTCAGTCAAATACTGTCTCTTTCCTAGGTCTCCCAGGCTGTTTCTTCTTAGTGGTTTTCACTGAAAAGGTGGTTGGAATCCTTTAAACACCCAAGTGGTTTTTGTTATTTCATTAAACTTGAAGTTAACTTTTTAGTGCTGGACTATGGTTCTTGTCTCCTTCTTTGTTATCCTTCATTAACGAGGCAAACACCTGCAAATTGGATTTTAAGAGAAAGATTAATAATCCACACACATAATCTTGTGATATTTTACAGAAGGTTCTTTCATTCATCCATCATAAATCACAAGAGCATTCTGTCATCCTACTCTCTCTCTTTTTCAATAGTCCAATGCCCTAAGTATCAATTTCAAAATTATTATAATTGAAAACTGTAAGGAACCAAAGCATTATTAAATTGCAAAAATGGTTACTTACAGAAATGCATGATCCATGTCTTACTAGGGATGGTTTAACTTGAAGCCCGGCACTGAGCAGGCAGTTGGACCCAATGGCCCTCTGGCTCCTTCCACCTCTACTTTTCTATGATTCTATCTACTGATCAGGGCAACCACCACCACAATTTCAAATGAAGGTAGACACTCAGTGTTAGCCTACAAAAAGTTCTAATATATCAGACATCACTTATTCCACCTACTAGCAACACGGGAAGCTGACTTGTACTGAGTGAGTCCACAGGTCCATCTAGCCCAGTCCTGTCAACACTGACAAGCTGCAGCCCTCCAGGGTTTCATGCAGAATTCTTTCCTAGCCCTAACTAGAGAAGCTGAAGACTGAACCTAGGCCCCTCTACATGCAATCATGTGCTCCACCACTGGTCTTTTGATAACTGAATAATCAAAAATGTATTTTTAAAACAAGGATAAAAACTGAGCAACACCATTGTGCAATTGGCTACACATTACAATGATATTCCTAAGTATCAGTGAACACTGTGCTAATATACTGGTTTAAGGCAGGGAGAAAAAAACATGTTCTGAATTTTAGGCATTGGAAGTGATCCAAAATTAGTAATACTCAAAGTAGACACTTTGAAGTAAGTAGGACTTGAGCCATAATTATTTCATGTTTCACTGCTTTCACTGGTTCTACTCCAAGCCTGACTGAATTTGGACTTTACTTATCTATGGTATTATAATTTAATAATATTTTTGTATACTGTTCATAGAGTCCTATGAGAAACAACACTGCAAAAGCTTTGAACGGCTTTTCATCATGACACTATACCTCATGCAAGTAACAGGATTCTAGATTAGACAAATAAAATTGTTCTGCCAGACCTCAATAGGGTTCCTTTAGGTCTAGGGAATTCTCCAAATTCATCACATTCCCATTCAACATTTCTAGATAAGCATGGCCTCAGGGACCCACAAAAGTCTAAAGATATTCCTAAATGGGCAATCAATACATGAAAAGGTTCTAGCACGATGAATCCCGATAATGAAAAACTTAAAAAAAAAAACTAGGGCTGCAACCCATTTAAGGAAAGTATGCCTCAGCTATAGAGCAGTATAGAAATGAGATTATTATTATTAGTCATATAAGTTAGCAGATCAATTAATCTTATATAGGTTTGCATAGGTAAAATACTTTTTTGCAAGGATACTTTTTTTTTAGTTGCAATAGGTATAAAAGTTGCAGGCATCACAAAAAAGGCTTTCCTCCTCTTAAGATGGAGGGTTAATTGCCTTCCAATTGCAGTTTTAATAAGTATATCCTTTAAGAGTAATTTAGGCTGTTGCCATCATGTTAGCAAATCTAGATCCATTTCAACCAGGCCTCAGACCTGGTTTTGGGACTGAAACAACCTTGTTCACCCTGATGGATGGGAGACAGACAGGGAGATTATGACTTTTTTGGATGTCAGTGGGTTTCAGTGTTGTTGACCATGGTATCATTTGACAAAACCATTTAGATTAGGAATTGGTTTCACTCTATTAGGGTTCTAATTCTACTTGGATGACTGATTCCAGAAAATGGGAGACTCGTGCACATCCTGGTATTTATACTGTTATGCTTCACATGGTTTTCTTGTCCTCCACATGTTTTTAACCATTTATATAAAAAAACACTTAATGTGGTCAGCTGGAGGTTTGGCAGGAGATATGCTCAATCTGTAGATGATGCCCCATCCTATTTCTCTTTTACATCTAATTCAAGTAAGGCAGTGCATGTGCTAAATCAGTACCCAGGCACAGAAATGAACTCAGATGAGGGCAATAAACCAATCCAATCTAAACAGAGGTATCCTAGATGGGTTTGCATTTGCCTTGAAGGATAAGATTAACAGACTGTGACTGCTCCTCAATTCGTTGTCTTTGTCACTGGGACTACAAGTAATTTCTATGACACAAAGTTTGGTTCTGCCAGGTTCAGTGCTAACTGGATAGCCTCAGTGGTCCATGCTGGAAACTGCAGTTAGTAATGCAGCAGTTGGACTAACTTGAACCAAACACTAAGATAATATTACACCCAAGTATTATTGCACTGACTCAAGTTACTGCTAGTTTTAACCATAAGAATTCTTCATGACTTGCAACGCATACCTAAAAGACTATTACCACATATGCCTGCCAATACACTTAGACAATGTCCTTCTACAGGTAAATTTGCCATCTGATGTGTATCATGACTGCGCTGAAAAGGGCTTCCACAGTGCCATACTGTGTCCCTAGTGGGACTATTTTGTCTTTCTGGCATTATAAGATGACTTATTTCCCTTGGTTAAATATTTTATCTTTGCTGATACTTTTATACTTCTCTTTTAGATTTTGATGCATTTAAGTATGTTTGTACAGAAAGCTTTAATTAGCTTGGATCCAGATATACTTACACCCACAGAGCATTTTCTGAATAGAGTTCCATTCAATATTCTCCCGCTGGGAGAAAAGGAATGTGGAGGGGAGACTATTTTTGCTGATTCCTCCCCATACCTTACACCCTCCAGTCCCCCACTATTTCAGAGGGTCCTCCAAATCTCTGGAGCATATTTTCAGAGGGGGGTGGAGAAGGAATCACTAAAGGCTGCCTCCTCCCAGTTCCAACAACAGAAATGCTCTACTGAATTAGAAGCCTTCTGAGGACAGAAGTAGTACTTCTATTCATGGAAGGATGACTGACAATTTTTCTGTGTATTCTGATTCGTTATAAGCTGCCCTGATAATGTATTATTTATTTATATTTATTTATTAAAACATTTTTATGCCTCCCCATTCGCCGTAGCCTCGGGGCGGCTTACAACAATAAATTAAAATAATTATAATCTTAAATTAAAAAATATAAACATTAGATTAAAAATACAAAAATATAAAACAAGCCGCCCTGGCCAGATAAAATCCAATAATATTAACAGTTAAAATGCTGCTTAAATAAAAAGGTCT